TGGTTCTCTAGGTACATCGTGTGTTTTTTTAATGGGTAAGAATCCCGTACAGTCCCTCGTCGCCTCTGATGAGTCTTTAGAAGATATACCATCGTAGTGTAACAAGTCATTCCATCGTCGACAATGGTGCTCGTAGGCACCGTGTGATTTTTTAAAAAATATACAGCCTCTCGTCACCTCTGATGAGTCTTTATATAATGGTGCTCTAGGTATAACTTGTGATTTTTAACTCTGATCACACCTCTGAGGAGAAGTACAGTCTTTAGAAGATTATTCCACAAAAAGAAGGCAGAGAAAATAAAAAATAAGAGGCATGACATCTTAATCTTCTGGAATAACAATGACTTGTTCAATAACTTCAAGGAATCTGCCTAATTTTTAATATTGCGGAAATCCTTTAGTAAAGTATTCAGATTACCGTTTACCATCAGGCAGGACGTCAGTTTCTTTGTCAGTCCAATAATTATGAAAATAAGAATTTCTCAAAAAAACTTCCAGCTTATCTTAACAGCTTAACTTAGTTCGAGCAAACTTTGTGCTATCTGCAAACTACAATTCAGTTACGTTATGTCGGTCGTATTTATACAAATAGTTTGACGCTTTTTTAATTTCCTGAAACTTGAACGAAAGAACGCACTACATCGTGCCAAAAGATATTTATTTCTCATTCATGTATTATCGTTTATTCAATTTATAGGCATGCTTAAATTTAAGTTTATTTGAATAAGGAATTTTCTATTCTATTTTTTCTATTCTATTCTATTCTATTTTTAGATGTAAGAAACGAAAATGATGTTTCAGGTATTTCTAGACTATCAATTCATATATAGTTTTTTTTAAACTAGTGTTTTTATGTAATCTAGATGTGCTCGCGGCTTCGCTCACGTTAAATTTCAGCAAAATATATGAGCTATTCTGATGCATAAGCTATATTGCTGTAAAGTTTCATGAGAATCGGTTCAGTACTTTTTGCGTGAAAGAGTAACAAACATCCATACTTGCAAACTTTCGCGTTTATAATATACTAGTTTTTACCCGTGGCTTCGCTCGCATTAAATAACTTAATTACTGGCTGCTAGTTGGCGCTGAAGTATTTCAATATAGATGTTTCATTTTCTTGTTTTTTTTTTAATGTGTTAAATGTATTTTTTTTTTAATATACAATATTTTTAAATAAAAAATATCCTATGTTCATTCTAATACCTCCAAGTACATGTGTACAAAATTTCATAATGATCAGTTCAGTAGTTTTTACGTGAAAGTGTAACAAACATTCTTACTTTCACATTTATACTATTAGTAAGGATATTAGAATCATTACATAGTATAAAATAAAGTCTCTGTTGTCTGTCCGTCCCTATGTATCTATGTATGCTTAAATCTTTAAAACTACGCAACGGATTTTGAAGCGGTTTTTTTCTAGATTAAGGTTTATATATATGTACATGTACACCCGTGCGAAGCCGGGGCGAGTAGCTAGTAGATAAAGAGGGATATATATGTATTGGAAACCTACTAACTCGTAAACTATTAAATTTCTGACAATCAAAAATAGGGCGTTCAAATGAAACGTATATATGTATTTTAAGTTAAGTTAAGATTTACAGTTAGAGATGCAATTGTTTCTTCACTTCTTATCGATATAACTTGGCATCGGTTTATCGGTTTATCGATACTTGGCCACACGCCACCGAGAGATGAGGACGACATTTTATTTTGGTTTAAATTGAAAATCAAGTGCAGTTTAGGTAAGATTTATATGGCCGAATTATTTTAAAGTAAAATCTAGTAGTAACAATGAGATATTAACTCACCACCTAACTTACGATGCTCGCGGGTTCGATTCCTCGCACGGCGCAAACATTTGTATTCATGAGTATCATTGTTTGTGTCAATCTGGATGTATTCTATGTATAATATGTATGTATTTATGGAAAAAATAGATATGTATTTGTATCAGTTGTCTAGTACCCATAACACAAGCTTTAGCTAGCTTAACCTGGGTCTGAGATGGCGCTGTGTGAATTGTCCTGAAATTATTATTATTATATGAACTGTGAAATATATATTATGATTTACTAACATAATATGGATGGAATCCACAATAAATATATAAATAGTTTATCATTAACTCTACAAAAAAAAAAGTAATTCTATTGAGTTTCTTACCAGTTCTTCTCAATTGAATCTATATACTAAACTGGACAGTAGGGAAAAAAATAAAATATAATATTTTTTACGTTCATAAGCGGCTAAAATGTCCTACATGAGTAAATGATTTTTTAATTTGAATTTGAATTCATTGCAAATACAAACCAACTCAGTAGAGTGAGACGGTATTTCATCGCTTCCAATTATACAGGGCGCAGATCCGGCCGCATATGGAATACTGTTCTCATCTCTGGGCGGGATCACTACAATATCAATTACTACCATTTGACCGTATTCAGAACCGAGCAGCCAGAATCATTGGTAATCAACGTCTTTGTGACAGACTCGGCCCATTGGCTCTGCGGCGAGATATTGCATCTCTGTGCATATGTCATGGAAAGTGTTCTGAGGAATTGCACCACCCGCCAGAAACTAAAATACCATCCTGATCATCTGGATGAATGGCGGTCCTCCACAGTGCGTTTTTCTAGAAACTTTTTGCCACGCACAACCACATTGTGGAATCACCTTCCAGCAATGGTATTTCCGAACCGATACGATATTGATACCTTCAAGAAAAGAGCTTATTTCTTCTTAAAAATCTGGCAACGCACTTGCAAATTCCCTAGGTGTTGTGGGTGCTCATGGGGGAGGTAATTTATTTATTTATTTAACTTTAATGCACAAAAACAATATGTATATGTCGGACTTAATACCTTGCGGCGTTATCTACCAGGCAACCATGAGTGGTGCAGAGGAAGAGTATTGGCGGTGCACTAATATAAATGAGAAATGTCAAAAAAAGATATATAAATATAAAGGCAGAATATAGGTAAATTTCTATAAAAAATAATAATGTACATGCACGCAGTGATGGCTGGCTCATCCGTCATACTCGTGAACGGGTGCTGCTTGTAGGAACTGGTCTGCTCTAATCACTATGACTGATTTCCTCTTATTAATTGTACTATTGTAATTGTTCTCTTATTAATTGTAATTAACAGTTGGTTATATATTCAATATTTTTTCTATTTGAGTATTTAATTGAATTAGTGCTAATTGGTGGTTTGTATTCACACACTAAAACTTAAAAATGTAAAGTAATAATAAAATTATTTAAATAAGCAACATAAGTTTCTTGCTCGTTCTTCTAGTGATGAGACAGCTTTCCGAGTGAGCGGTAGATTGAAAAAAATGTGATGACTATTCAAAAGTGCTTCAATATAAGTTTATTTGAATAAATGATTTTCTATTCTATTCTATTCTAAATATATAAGTATTATATATTTTTGTTTATATAGATGAGCCGTAAGCTTGTTTATCCTCTATTCTATTGTGGCTACAATTAAAATAATACAATATAGAAACCTTAAGTAAAAGAGCAATTCTTTTTTAAAAGGCCGGTAACGCAATTGAAATCGAACCCGTGACCATCGGAAATAAAACCACGGTACAAATATTTGTATTTGAATATTATTATTTGTGTTAATCTGGGAGTTTTCTATGTATATTGTGTGTGTATTAACAGAAAACGGGACAATTTTGCATACCAGAGTTCATTTTGGGGACACCGGGACTCGTAATTATGAAAAGGGACAGTCCCGCTTAAAACGGGACGTCTGGTCACGTTAAGCATAACTTACAACGATATGATCAATATTGACCACTGCCCAAATGCTCACTAAGTTTCAATTTGACAATCAAATTATATTGCTGCAAGCTGCAACTAAGTTTGCACTCAATTTAAGTTCCTAACTTATGTGATTTGACGACCTCGGTGATCTAGCGGTTTAGCACACCGCTTTACGTCCGATGGTCGCGGGTTCGAACATCCTCTCGCACGGCACAAACATGAGTATGATAGTATCGGTCTGGATGTTTTCTATATATAATATGTATGTATTTACGAAAAAAAAAATCTATGTATTTGTATCAGTTATCTAGTAGCCATAACACAAGCTTTAGCTAGCTTAACTTGGGTCTAGATGGCGCTGTGTGAATTGTCCTGAGATTATTATTATTATTATTATTAACTTATGAGAGACTAACGACTCGCTCCGGTTTCACTCGAGTATAATTACTGTGGGATTTCTAAATGTTTTGAATATGTAAGTGTGAAGTAGAGTTGCCATTCAGTCTATTTCCAGGACATGTCCTAGTTTTGTACTGTCCTGGGACAATTTAACTAAAATAAATTCAAATGTCATATAAAACACTTCCCTTGTAAAAAAGCATATTACAAAATTGAAGAGTTTGTAAACGATAATAATGTTTTAGTAGAAAAATCTTAAAATTTATAACGCTGACAATATTATCTGATTACACTAAGAATTTAGCGGTTTCTGTATTCATTATCGCATGCCTATTACTTGTTGTTGTGTAATTATTTATTTTAAATAACATCTATTCAAAAGAGCAACAGACAAGTTTCTTGCTCATTCTTCTTGTGATGAGTCTGCGTTCCTAATGAGTGGTAGAATAAAAAATGTAACTATTCAAAAGTGATTGTATTGAGTTTATTTGAATAAATGATTTTCTATTCTATTCTATTCTGTATAATTATAAGCAGCGTTCTCGGGTTTTAAATTAAGAAAAACATATAAGTTAAAGAAAAGAAAATTGAAATATTAATAATATAGTTAAACGTATTTTAAAATATATACGCTAGAAAAAAGTTTACCAAAAGATGAGCCGTATGAGTGTGCCAACGTCGTAATAAAAAAAATGGCGTGTGCATTATTGACCATAGATTAAGTTATTTCAGTGTATTTTTCAGTATATGTGTTCAATTCTAATGATATTATTAATAATTTCTAATAAATTACTTCTTTGTTTCATGTACCGAGCAGCAAAGGGACCTGGAATCGGTAAGCAAATTTTTTTTTTCAAATATTTATAAATTTGTTCTGATATAAATTTAACCCCCTCCCTCTCATCCCCCTATTGTTGAAGCTGTATGGCAACTTTATTTCAAGTATTGAAGAAGTTGTAGAAACAGTTATAAAAAAACCATACCTCTCATCCCCCTAGTGGTGGATCTGTACAGCAATACTGATTCGACTCATGTAACAATAGACGGTAAATTCTGAGAAAATTCCATTCAATAAATCTAAGTAGAGAAGTGTTTACACTGAGTTAGTCTTTATATAAGTATAATTTAACAATAGACAGTAAATTCTGAGAAAATTCCTGTAGATATGTTAAATGTAAGTAGAGAAGTGTTTACACTGAGTTAGTCTTTATACAAGTATAATTTAACAATAGACAGTAAATTCTGAGAAAATTCTTACAGAGATTTTAAATGTAAGTAGAGAAGTGTTTACACTGAGTTAGTCTTTATACAAGTATAATTTAACAATAGACAGTAAATTCTGAGAAAATTCTTACAGAGATTTTAAATGTAAGTAGAGAAGTGTTTACACTGAGTTAGTCTTTATATAAGTATAATTTAACAATACCTCTGCTTTACCAAGTCTGCAGTATTTGTTTAATTTACTTATTTAATAAGAGAAAATTCCTATGGATATTTTTAATCTAAGTAGAGAAGTGTTTACACTGAGTTAGTCTTTATACAAGTAGAATATAACAATAGACGGTAAATTCTGAGAACATTCGTCTGTCATTACTGAGGGAAAACGTCCACTGGAATCCTTCCCCACATTTATTATTATTATTATCAAAGCAATAAATTGGTGGACATAGGCCTCCCCCAAAGATCTCCACGACGATCGGTCCTGCGCTGCTCACATCCAATGCCTTCCGAACTTGACCAGATCATCGGTCCACCATGCTGGAGGCCTTCCCACGCTGTGTCTTCCGGTCCGTGGTTGCCACTCGAGGACTTTACTGCCCCAACGGCCATCTGTCCTATGAGCTATGTGCCCCGCCCATTGCCACTTCAGAGTCGCAATTCTTCGGGCTATGTCGGTCACTCTGGTTCTTCAGCGGATCTCCTCATTTCTGATTAGATCACGCAGAGTAACTCCGAGCATAGCCCTCTTCATTGCCCTCTGAGTGACTCTGAGCTTGTTGATGGGGCCCATAGTTAGCGACCACGTCTCTGTTCCGTAAGTCATCACTGGCAACACACATTGGTCGTAAACCTTCGTCTTGAGACACTGCGGAAATTTGAACGAAAAGATATATCGGAGCTTCCCGAACGCTGCCCATCCGCGTTGGATTCGACGATTGACCTCTTTCTCGAAATTGGATCTACCTAGATTTATTATTATTATTATCAAAACAAAAAATTGGTAAGCGAGCTTTCCCGATACCGGAATCCTTCCCCACATTCATTATTATTATTATCATTATCAAAGCACTCATACATTCGTCAATGATCAAACAAGTTCTATCACGTACAGAGTCCAAATTACAGAGTAACCCGCACACCAACCGTCTCAATAATTAAATTGTTACGCACCGTTCACACTGGAGCGAGTGTAACTTTAAATAAATTATTGCACGAACAAAAGACATACACGGCGATTAAAACAAACTTGCCCCGGGGCCTTGTTATTTTCTATGCATATTTAATTAATAGGCATTTACATTGCAAATACTTAGATGGGGATAAACTTTGGATATAGATCTAGTGCTGGAAGCGACACTTGCTAAAACAATGCACTACGCTCCGCTAACATTCGTTTGATCGACTTCGAAATCCTAATATGATATGTTTGCAATATTTAATTATATTTTATTTATTTATTATGTATTACTTTTTATTGCACCAGATATAGAAAATAATTTAAATAATAATATTACATAAACTGACGCAAAAGGGGTACGTATATGTGGATATATATATATATATATATATATATATATATATATATATATATATATATATATATATATATATATATATATATATGATAACAACAATACATAGATACATCTGTATGATTTTGTTGTTATAGAATTAAGAATGAAGGAGAAGGGACTATTAATCAAAAAGAATAGTCAGAACTTAAAGGGAAAGAAAATAGAGACTTTGTAATTACCAAGATATTGAAGACTTTGAATGAAAATTTACTATTGGAGTAATCGTTATTTATGCTGTTTTTTATGTATTATGTAATATATATGTACATGTAGTACATGATTAAAGGAAGTGATGTGCAAGGTGCAATACATAAGTTGCGCTAGCGCCCACTAGCTCTTGTGGTATTTGCTGGTAATAAACGAGAAGGCGTTGGTATAGAGTGTACATGCACATCACTTATTCCCTCACATCACCGTCCCTCAGATTGATTCCGCATCCAATTGAAATGGTGTTGAAATTAAGATGGCATAAGCCCAGGATCGAGCCCTAGCGGTATCCTGGATACATGAAAAATAACTCTCTTATACGCCCCTACTATCGATCATCCATCTTATTCAAACGTTATTGAAATTATGACGGCATAAGCCCAGGGTCGAGGCCTAGCGGTGCTCTCACACTAAAGTCGTCTCCGTCAGCAGGTTGTCCTTCATTCGCTTCAGTAAATCCTTCCACGGTTTCGAGTGCCATCTACATTGTCCCCTATATTATTCGGTAAAGTAATTACAAGAAATTTAGAAAATAAGTATTTACAAAAAAAACATGTATCTATCAGTCATTTAAATTTATCGTTTAAACAATTGGCTTTAGCAAAATCTACTAATATTTTCAAAGATATTTATTATTACTGGAATTATCTTGTCTATTTATTATCCGCTGAATACTATTCAAAACTATTCGAAAAACATAATTTTATAATAATTGTTCTTAAAAAAATATCGTTTAAACCAACCACGCTCGAGCTGATTTATTGGTTGTCGCTTCCAGTACAATCTAAGTTTATACATCAGCGTAAGAACTTGAGACAAAGACACTCCCGACAGTTCGTGATTGCTGAAAGCGCCCCAGGGCGGGAGAATTAAAATTTTACAGCGATGACGTCACTTTGTACTGAAATTGTTACACTTATTATGTTACAGCTTTTAGTGGTTTAACGATTATATTAATGGGTTCTTTAACATAACCGTCTTGCTTAATTTAATATATTCATTTAGATTGTTAAGTTATTCTGTCATCTAATTGAACTATTATATTATTCTCATATATAGGCGGCGTGATGGGCCGGGTCTAAAATATGGTCGAGCGCAGTGATGGTTGACTCATACGTCATACTCGTGAATAAGTGTTGCTTGTGGGGATTGATCTGCTCTAATCACTACGACTGATTTACTCTTATATAGTTGCTCAACCAGTTATTTGTATATGTAATATTTTCTCTATTTGAGTATTTAATTGAATTAGTGCTTAAAAAGTTATACAATTTTAGAATATAAAAATGACATATTGAATTAAATATTATACAATTTTAGTAATTAAATATATACAATTTCAAATAATAAATAATATTACTATTTTTTTTATTATTATTATATATTATATAAAAAATAACTCGTCCTCCTCTCTTCTCTTCCGCTTGCTGTGCCCAACAGGGTCCATAATTAACCTACTTTGAAATGTACCTGTCTATCTATTTACTGTAAAATTATGGAATGCAAAGCTTAAATAAATAAATAAATAAAATAAAGTAACTATAAAATTATTTAAAAGAGCAACACGCAAGTTTCTTGCTCGTTCTTCTTGTGACGGGACAGTTTTCCGAATGAGTGGTAGAATAAAAATATGACTATTCAAAAGTGCTTGTATTGAGTTTATTTGAATAAAGATTATTTCTATTTCAACTTACCAGGGAGACACGACTTTCGAGACGACATCAAACCTGACTTTCGAAGCAACCCGCTTCGAAAACGGACAGAAGTTTCACTGTGAAGCTGCTAACAAGGTCACATTGGAGACTAAAGACCATCCGATGCATGCTACTAGGGAATTAGAAATTTGGTGTAAGTATAGAAATAATCATACACTATCTGTTGATTACTTTGAAATCTATATATATATATATTCAAATTCAAATTCAATAGCTAAATAAATTAAAATCGCTATTAAAAATAGGGGTTGATGTTAGAAGGGTGAAAATTTAGGGTCATATGTATATTGTCAAATCATAGTAAAAATAAAAATAAATAATAAGGGTAGGTCACTCTTATAATTATATACGCGATATGCATAATTTTTTTTTATAAAATTCTTAACGCTTTCGATCGCGGGTTCGATTCCTCGTACGGTACAAACATTTGTATTCATGAGTATGATTGTTTATATCGATCTGGGTGTTTTCTATGTATAATTGGTATGTAATTACGAAAAAAAGTATATCTATATATTTGTATCAATTATCTAATACCCATAACACAAGCTTAAGCTAGCTTAACTTGGGACTAGATAGCGTTGTGTGGTTTTCCTAAGATATTATTATTATTTATTCATAATTTAAGAGCTACACTTTTGCCGGTGGAGCTCTTGCCCCTTCCACGATCTTCCATCATGCTCTTTAATTCTTGATACAACACAACTCCCATTCTTTCCTTAATTTCTTTAATGTAACTGTACCATAGTCTCCCCCCCCCCCCCCTACCCCTCTATTATTATTATATACAGCAATTAAACTTATTATCCCCAGACCCACCAATGGTTCGAGTGGAACCAACAAACATCACAGTTGTGGAAGGATCCAAGTTGCTGCTCAAATGCGAATATGAAAGTAATCCATCATCGTTGAACCACGTCGTTTGGTAAGTCATTCTGCCCTTTTTTTATTCGGAGATTTGGGCTATTGTTAGGTGGAGGAGGTACACAGATCTATATATTATGCTCGGTCTTTATCTGAGTACACTACCTAGACCCGTCAGGGAACTGCGACCTACATAGATCTATTGTGCTCGCCCTTTTTCAGACTTCGTTACCTAGACCCGTCAGGGACAATAATTAAAGGACATTCTTAGGAGCGATGGATTTTATCTCCTCAGGATAGTGTAAACTTTCTAAAGGAGATATTACGTTTATGCATGAGTGGGCTACAACCACATAGGATGTATTATGGTGTTTGAGATAGAGATACCCATACACTCCCACTAAATAAAAATCCAGAAGATGCAATACTGGTTAATTATGCATAAAATTCTTTAAATTCCAGGTACAGAGACGGCAAAGAAGTAAATGTTAATGATACATCACATTATCAAGGTGGAACAACAGATCAACATTCATTGATCATAACAGATGCTAGAGGTGATGATACTGGCAACTACACTTGTTTGTTGACTAATGCTGTTGGAAACGGAACTAGTGGAGATAGTATACATGTTAATGTATTATGTAAGTAATTATATATCAAAACAATCACTAAAATAATCACAAAATTTAACAATGATAAAGTTAATAGGTAAACTAAATCCTGGAGAGATTTAGTTGGAAGAAGCATTACTGCTGGTCACGACCTCAGTCTTGAGGAATCGACAAAGAAGTACAACCTAAGTCATGACAATGCTTGAGCTTTTATAAATTAGTTCTATTTAGTAGATTTATCCTTAGTTTAAATTTTAAAATGTAAAATTGTACAATATTTGCTCCCATTATTATTGCTATTAGACCCGGCAAAAATGCTTATGTCATTATCGTGCACTGAAGCTGTATTGGTGAGGAATGAATAGCAATAATAGAAATTGAATAGCATATACTGGTGGTCACGATATTCTCTCTATTTGAATTTAGAAATGATCTTGTATTTCTGTTATCATGTACAAGCTTATTTGAAAAGTATAAGCGCTAAGTTTCTTGTCAGTTCTTCTTAGCTCGAAAGGTCTGCAAACGGTCGGTTGATTTGACATGCCATAAGAGTCTGTAATAGACCTGACCTGAATAAAGATGATTTTTTGATAGTGGAAATAATTTCCCTTACAGATTCTATCACCAGAGAATACTGATCATTTTAAACTTTTAATTCCAGATAAACCTCAAGTTCGACTAACCATGAGCTCCCCAAGCCCAATCTTAGAGACAGACCACAAGAATGTTACTCTAACTTGCGAAGTTGTGAGCGGGAATCCACCAATCCTGGATGAGGTTATTTGGTATTTGGATGGAGAAATTCTAAAGCATTTACCCGAGTGCAATGGAACTGATGGAGAAGGTAATTAATACGAATGAAGATAATTAGCACGATAGTCCATAGCAGCGAATACTAACCTAAGCCCTCTAGAAATTCCTAGAATATTTCTAGGTATTTCTATAGGGCTTCAGAAGTTAACATTAGCAATAGGAATTAGTGATGGAGTCTGTGACGCACAGTGACCGTATCAAAATTTTATAGCTATATGCCAAAAGGCATTGCAAATTAATAGTTTTGATTTTGATTTTTTTAATGTTAAATAACATTGTTCCTGTAAACGAGATATTTACCTAAATCGGCAGAGCCTGTGACTGTATGACGTTATGTGAATTGTCAGGAGTTATACCCATTATTACATATTTTATCCTTGTAATGTTTTTATAATTACAGAAAACTTGTGCAACGAAGTGGATCCGTCGATGCTGTTGCTCCAAGACACAACGAAGAGCTTCCACGGGAACTATTCCTGTAAAGGCAAAAACTACGCCGGTTGGGGAAATGAGAGCGAAAAGACTGAATTGGTTGTGAATTGTAAGTATTACTTATGCAAGAAAATTAATAATAACATATTTCTTGAAAACAAACATTACTATTGTCGCAACACTGGCTTGTTGTCATTCTCTCTTCCATCCTCATTGCTAAATTGTAATGTATCCTAAATATAAAATACATTTTTTCTGAAGATTAAAAGCTTTGATTAAAAGATGAAAGTTTTCCACGTGATCCTTCGAGCCGGATCTAGAAAAATTTCTTATTGTATTTATTATCATGTATAGATAAATATAAAAATCTCTTACACATATATCTAAAAAGATATACAATTATTATACAATGATTACCTGATCATAAATTAAGGATGAGACATAGATTTTGCGTAGAGATTGTTGGTTATGGCAATCTTTTACTGACTACGAATTGACAGAATACGAAAACAAAAACATTCAAAAAGTAAACATTTAATTTCTTCAAAATATCTTTGTTCATATAGTTCTATTACAGATGCTTATCAAATCTACCGTCAGTTAGTTTGAGCTAAAAAGAACTGATACGTAACTCAGGTCTTACACTTTTCAAATTAACTAGTACAACTAGATTTTTATTTCGATCTGTGTGTATTTTTGTCATTTATTTTTTATACCACAACTATTTGTTACTTTTGTAACAATATTGGGTGCCTATAAAGTATAGTCTGGTGATTAATATCTTTATATCATTTTTATAATTGCACGTATCTTTAAAATACTTCAGATAAATAAATAAATACAATAGATCCCAAAATTTTATCGACAATTACAACAATTACGGAGTACTATTTCAGTAACTTCCCTGATAAGCGATACCTTGAAACCTTATCAAAATGTTCCTATCTCGAACATTTTATTACTGGTTTTAGTGGCGAGACATTAATCCACTAATCACAGTTTTTGTGTGAGAATTGATAAAGAAGTATAATAAAAATACTTTCAAAGGTCGTTCATTTCTTACGTCTGGTGTACCTCAGGGTTCAATATTTGGTCCAATTCTTTCAATAAATTTTATAGTATTACACTGCACGTCACTTTCTAAATATAAAATACTTCGCACATAAATTCAATATGAAAATGTTATCACTTAATGTCGGGACAATCTGTTGAATCCTGAGAAATTGTCTTTTAAATTGTCTACTGATTAAATACTTTACTCTCTATTTCGTCATTATCATTATTTCTAATCTTAAGTTTTAATATTTATATATTCTAATGCTGTACCAGATATGTGCAAGCAAGTTTCTTCTCAGTTCTTCTTGGCTCGAACTGTTTTCAGAACTGTCGATAGATTTGACTTATCATAAGTGTCAGCAAGTAGACCTATAATGAATAAAGTTATTTTGATTGCTAGATTCATTGATTCAGCAAGATGACTTATAGATGTTGATACAACTCATGTTGATGGTAATTCATACTCGTGTTTATGCTATTATTAGAATGACCTATTAAATAAAAAAAAATTGAATAAAATAGTCATAAAAAAACGCTCAAGTTAATTCCAAACTAATATATTTTTTATTATTATTACTCTTTATTGCACCATAAAATTACATTTTATAGAATATGAAGGTACAGAAGGCGGTCGTATCGCTTAAGCTGATGGACCTCTTCCAGACTGAACAAATAATAATATGACCTTAACCGTTTTTCTAACCTAAGATCTGAATGGATTATGTTCTAAAGAATATACATTGGTGTTTATAGATCCACCTGGACCTGCTAAATTGACGTATTCTCCGTGGCGAGTCGTCAAGGGGAAAAGTCTCGTGCTCAGTTGCAGTATCAAGGAGAAGGGAAGACCAGAATCTCATAGGTAAGTTATTTCTGACGCTAGCAACTTTTTTTATCGTGTGGCAATCCTCAATAGACCAGCCACTATGGAAAGAAGTGCGGAGGGGGTTTGTGGGATTGTTACCCACTAAAAAACATATGATGTACCTACAAGCTCCATTGGCGAAGTAGCGAGGTCACGTTAGTATTTGTGGTTATGGTTGACGTGTATATCAACAGAAGGAGTGATATTAATAAAAGATTGAATATATGACGGTGTATATAATATCAGAATTAAAAATAACAAATAATAATTAATTTAATATTTTTAGAAACCAGTAAATTCGTCCGAAAATACCCCAATTTCTATAAAACACGCGAAGAAAGGTGTGAAAAATATAATTTACGAGACAGAAATAGGCTCGTTAGCACTACATTCAAGTGGTCCTCTGGTGTCATCCATAAACATATATAACCACCTACCACTTTCTTTAAAAGAGATAAAAAATGATAAAATATTTATAAGAAATCTCAAGACATTATTGATTAAAAAATGTGATTATATAATTTTAGAATATAAAAATGACATATTGAATTAAATATTATACAATTTTAGTAATTAAATATATACAATCTCAAATTATTAATTATTATTACTATTTTTTTATTATTATTATATATTATAAAAAAAAAAAAAAATTATTCGTCCTCCTCTCCTCTCTTCCGCTTGCTGTGCCCAACAGGGTCCATAATTAACCTACCTTGAAATGTACCTGTCTATCTATTTACTGTAAAATTATGGAATGCAAAGCTTAAATAAATAAATAAAATAAATAAATAAATAACAACTCATTTAGATCAGTAATTTGCAAGCGAATCAATTTGACATTTTTGACAATATACTTTTTATTAAAATGTGTCTGTGTTATATGTCTAGTTTATGCAAGGAGGTTGGTAGCCTACATATTCTACCGTGACTACGGTAACGTTGGCTCGCCCCAAAATATATAGGCCCCATCCGATGTTAGGGCGACCTATTCAATCGTGGAAGAGTGTGGGTACATGTGCAGGTCTCCGGGGCGGCGTTGGCCCGTCCTGTAGATGATGTAGAGTAGGCCCTATCTCGATGTTAGGGCGACCTTTTCCTCCCTACTCAATTGAAAAAGTTTGTGGGTGTACGCTTAGCATTTGTTTGGGATTCTGCTTAACAAACAACCCCAGACTTTGCACCAGTACAATTATTGTAACAGTCTCAATTATTTTTAATAAAATATTGACTAAGTGACTCGCTGAAAGTGTAGCTATGACAGTCATTTTAAAATCAGTAAAGGATTTTTTTATTTCACTTTAATTTACATATTTTTGATGTTACTAACAAAAATCTATATTTTTTCTCTTTAAAATATAAATTCAAATTTGAATGAATAAAAAAGTAATTTTAAAATCAGTCAAGTTTATTTTATTTCATTTTTAGTTCATATATTTTTGATGTTACTAACAAAAATGGAATAATTTCTCTTTATAATATTAATTCAAATTGAATTAATGAAATAAATTTGTTTGTATGTAGTATATTATCATGTATATGTATGATCTTATATCTATTTAATATAATTACATTTAATTTATTAAAACTAAACCGCCTTCGAGTATCTCTGCACTCCCTAAGGTTGGCTGGTAGAGAATGCTATTAGCATTAAGCCCGCCTATTGTACAAAATCAATAAAGTTTTAAATAAATAAATTAATGAAACTCTTTTTTAGCTCCTTTCACAAAAATATATAATACATACACAATTATGTACAAAGAGATAAAAATAAACAATAATGAACAATACAAAGAGGTAACAACGGGCGGTCTTATCGCTAAATAGACTTTATTAAAGAAATAACATGATGACATTTTCTACAGATTCCGGTGGCATCGCGGTGGACGAGTCGTCAGCGATATCGTCTCCCAGAACTGGACCATCGATCCAGTAACCCTGGACCACAGGACCAGCTTCTCATGCCGGGGAATCAACGCTGGTGGAGAAGGGGAACCGGCCACGACCTCAATTGATGTTCTTGGTAAGTTCATGACAGAAATATAGGTCCCTGAAAATTTACTGCTGGGAATGTATTTCACTCTAGTTTCTATTTAAAAATAATTGAAATAGAAATAATCTTTATTCAAATAAACTCATTCTTTTGAATAGTCATATTTTGATTTTACCACTCATTCGGAATGCAGAATCATCACAAGAAGAATGAGCAAGAAACTTGTGTGTTGCTCTTTTTAATATGTTTTTTTGAAATGATGTTTTTTTTATATAAATAATTACAGTATAACAAGTAAGAGGCATGCGATAATCAACATAGAAGTCGCTACGCACTCATTATTAATGTAATCAGATAATATTGTCAGTGCTATAGATTTAAAGTTTTTCTATAAAAACATTATTATCGTTAACGAATTCTTCAATTTTATAGTAAGCTTTTTTGCAAAGGAACTGTTTTATTTGACATTTAAATCTTTTTTCTGGCAGATTTATAACAGACTCTGGTATTTTATTGTAAAACCTTACGCAATTGCCATAAAACGAATTACTAACTTTAGCCAAACGACATTTAGGTAAAATCAGTTTGTTATTGTTACGTAAGCTTTTATTAGTGCAATCACTAACTCTTTTGAAACTGTCTATATTCCTTCTGGCATAGATGATATTTTCATAAATGTATTGAGAAGCAACGGTGAGGATATTTGATTCCTTAATAATAAATTATAATACAGAGACAAACGAAGAAAGAATAGTTATACTCGTAATCACCACGGCTTCAATCATTCAAATCATTTTCATCATCATCATTTAATCATCATTTAATATCTAATAATAATAACCCTGGACAATTAACACAACGCCATCTAGTCCCACAGTAAGCAGAACTTGTATTATGGGTACTAGACAACTGATATAAATACAAAGATATATATTTTTAAATACATACACAATATACATAGAAAACACCCAGACCGATATAAACAGTCATACTCATGAATACAAATATATGTGCCGTGCGAGGAATCGAACCCGCGACTATCGGAAGTAAAGGGGTGTGCTAAACTGCTAGACCGCCGAGGCCGTCATAGTGTAATTGCGGTGATAGTTTTGATGGTGTTAGTATTTTAGAACAGATTATATTTTAATTATTCTACCAACATCATCATCGCAGTCTGGAAGACTACAAACAGACCCCAAAGATCTCCACGACGATCGGTCCTGCGCTGCTCGCATCGAATGCCTTCCAGCGATCTTGACCAGATCGTCGGTCCACCTTGCTGGAGGCCTTCCCACGCTGCGTCTTCAGGTCCGCCACTCGAGGACTTTACTGCCCCAACGGCCATCTGTCCTACGAGCTATGTGCCCTGCCCATTGCCACTTCAGAGTCGCAATTCTACCATGTTTTAAATCTATTTTTCTATTGTTTTCAGCTCCACCTAGCTTCAAATATGCAATGAATCACTACAGCGGAGCACTTTACAAATCTCAGGTAGACTTTCCATTTAATTTTTTTTTAACATGCATAAGTGGTTTTTCATTGGCCGAAAGTGTAATTTGGAAAGCAGATTCAGCATAAATACATTTTTTGTAAATACACACGTAATATACAAAATTCAAAATATCTTTATTCATGTAGGTCTATTACAGACTCTTATAATATGTCAAATCAACCGTCAGTTCAGAAAGATTTCGAGATGAGAAGAACTGACAAGAAACTCAGCTCGTATTCTTTTCAAATAAATGTTGTACATGTTTACAATAATACAGATTCATTTAAATTCAAATTTAGGTAAATAGAGTGACCACCAGCATATGCTATTGCAAAAGCAAAAAATCTAATCAGAGTTCGCAACCTGAACAGACCGATTGGCCTTAATAATTGCCCAAAAGTGTAATCTGGAAAGCAAATTATTCAGCATAAATATATCTTTTTGTAAATACATAATATACGTAGAAAATACGCATATAACGGTAAAAACATCTAATCCTCCAAATAAAGATGGGTGACACTGCATGTTGTCAACTCACCCGGCCGGCCAGCGGTGGTTCTGGGCCAGACGGATAAGGTCTGCCTCGGTGTCACTGTTAGGCAAATTGTAACATCTCGGCTGATGTTGTACAAAAGTGGAAATTAAATAAATATTATAATATTAAAGTAAATTAAAAAAGGCACGGACGAATATGTCTGTGGAAAAATGTATTTAAATAAAAAAAAAACGGTAAAAACAAACATCCTCATGGATACAAATGTTTGTATCGTGGTGAGAATCGAACCCGCAACCATAGCAAAGTAAAACTATGTACTAAGCTGCTCGACCACTGATCCTATCAATAAAAAAATCAATATCAAAATATCTTTATTCATTGTAGGATTTGAATTTTAAAAACTATATTTATTATAAACATGTTCCACTATTACAGACTCTTATGATATCTCAAATCTACCGTCAGAACTGACGGTAGATTTGACATATCATAAGAGTCTTAATAGACCTACATGAATTAAGATATTTTGAAAAAACCTAACTGACAAAAAACTCAGCTCTTGTTCTTTTCAAATGAGGTACATATTTTAAAAATACAGTCATTTTAAAATTCATAATAGGGAGAATAGAGTGACTACCAGCATATGCTATTGCAAATTTTTCAATAGCATATGCTGTCGCCGCCTGTCTCTATGTGTACTTAAATCTTTAAAACTACGCAACGGATTTTGAAGCGGTTTCTTTAATATATAGTGATTCTAGAGGAAGGTTTATATATATAATATATGTACACCCAGGCGGAGCCCGGGCGAATAGCTAATTGCAATATATATAATCAAACCGGATTGTTGATACAACATTTTAGGTGCAATAATTATAATTTTAGCATGTCTCATATAAAGTGACCACCAAAACACAAATGCTATTCCAAATGGAAATAGTCTATGACAGCACCCGTTCACGAGTATGACGATATAAATATTGATTCCAGAATATCTCATTATCATGCACGGTGGAGTGCGCGCCTCTATGCAGCGTGCAATGGCTGAAGGATGGTCAAGTAATTGATGAGAAGAATGAACGCTACTATGTGGTGACGAGGAAAATCGAACCTCAAGTCAACAGGAACGACTTCGAAGCCACTGAGTCTACACTGGTAAGTTTGTTGATACAACATTTTAGATCCAATAATTATAATTTTCACATGTCTCTTAATTATATAAAGAAAAACAGAGGAAGGCCGAAAAAGAGATGGATTGTATAGAAGATATGGTAAAAAAGGGAGTAAATAAAGATCGACTGTACAAGGATTCATGGAATAGACCATTCCATTATCATAAATTGAAAAAAAAACACACATGAGGCACACCGTTATATCTAGATGAGATGAGATATGGGTATATTGATATCTATCTCTGAACATCGATACACAAGTGGACTGAATGAATCCGTTAGTGAAATTAATTTTATTTTTATATCTAACTGTAATGATGCACTTGTCTGTGCTAAGGGTTTACGCTGGCGAAGCACCAGAGGAGACTGATAGGTTAAATATGAGGTCTAGTCAGTCATCCCATCGTGGGGGACCCGAGGAGGATCTTGGTCGAGGCATTAAGTCCATGCATAAACAAAATATCTCCTAAATCATACGTGTTTTGAATAATTGCGAGCACAATAGATCTATACAGGTCGTGTGCCAGGTCTTAGCACCTGACAATAGCCGAAACCGTCCAATAAAAATTATTAATACTGGTGCGGCATGTAAATACAGGGGTCTAGGGTCCGAATATGATTTTGTTCCATTCGGTGTCGAGACCCTTAGTCCGTGAGGTCCTAGTGCTATAAGACTTTCCAAAGAAATAACGAAAAGGTTAGTCGACATCACAGAAGACCGAAGAGCTAGCAGCTACCTTGTACAAAGAATTAGTCTAGCTATTCAAAGAGAGAACGCTGCCAGTATCTTCGCAACGTTGCCTAAAGGGACCCCTTTTAAAATATATTTTAGTCATTATATTATATATTTTAAACTATTTAATTTTAACTACAAATTTATATATTTGAATAGTTGTAAATACGTATTCGATATGCATATTATTATTTTTTATTGTGGGGTTTGGGATATTGTCATGCGATAAACGTATTTTGTTGGTACGTGTCGCTTCCACGGAGTGTATGTACGTGTGTACGTGTGCAGCACTGGAACATGTCCGCGTGGGCGGGCGGCGCGCTGGGCCGGTCGGACGCGGCGTCGTACACGTGCCGCTCGTCGCGCAACGCGGCGGGCGCGCCCGTCGACAGCACCACCAAGTTCGCAGTCGAGTGTCAGTATACCACCCTCAAATCATATAAGTTTAATTTAAATATCATGCTTCAAATAATTTAAGTTTAATTTAAATATCATGCTTCAAATAATTTAAATTTAATTAAATATCATGCTTCAAATAATTTAAGTTTAATTTAAATATCATGCTTCAAATAATTTAAGTTTAATTTAAATATCATGCTTCAAATAATTTAAATTTAATTAAATATCATGCTTCAAATAATTTAAGTTTAATTTAAATATCATGCTTCAAATAATTTAAATCTAATTTAAATATGCTTCAAATAATTTAAGTTTTAATTTTGAGTATCATGCTTCAAATAATTTAAATTTAATTTAAATATCATGCTTCAAATAATTTAAGTTTAATTTAAATATCAAGCTGAAGCTTGAATCATTTCGTTTTCTTTTATTATTTTATTCCACACATTTCTTTATTCAAAAGACACGTTAATCAATATATACTTTATAGTGTTATTTTTTGCTTTAAATAATTTAAATTACTTTTAAAATTTTAAATATTTTTCAACATGTTTTTGTTTTCAAACTTTCATGATTTATTTAAAGTCGAGTGTCAGTTTAATTTAAGTTAATTTAAGTTCACGTTTAGAATCATTTCGTTTTCTTTTATTATTTTATTCCACACATTTCTTTTATAAAAGAATACGTTAATCAATAACTTTTTAACTCATTCTTCATAATTACAGTTTGTTTTAATTTTTTTTCGCGTGTGAGTGTCCTACCCTTATAGATTAAATAATTTAAGTTTCTTTTAGGATTTTAAATATTATTCCACATGTTTTTTTTTTTCAAACTTTCATGATTTATTTAAAGTAGAGTGAGAGTATCCTACCCTCATGCTTTAAATAATTTAAGTTTCTTCTTAAATTTATTTTTATTCCTCAGATTTGTTTTCAAAAGACACGTTTAAGTATTTAACACGTTAGTTAATAACTTTATAGTGTTATTTTTGTAAATACTAATGATTCAAATAATTTCAGTTTCTTTTAAAATTTTAAATATTATTCCACATGTTTTTTTTATTCAAACTTTCATGATTTATTTAAAGAATGTCTTTAAACAATATCTTACCCTCATCCTTTAAATAGTTTAAGTTTCTTCTCAAATTTATTTTTTATTCCTCAGATTTTTTTTTCAAAAGACACATTTAAGTATCGAAACATAGTTTAACGTTAGTTAACACTTTATAGTGTTATTTTTATAATCACTCATACTTTAAATAATTTCAGTGGTTTTCAAATTATAAATATTATACCACATATATTTTTTTCAAACGTTTATCATTTAAAGTCTAGTGTCAGTATTCTACTCTCTGCTTCAAATATTTTCAATTTTAATTTTTTTTTCCACTGAGATTATTATTATTATTATTTTACAGATGAACCTGAAAATATTACGGTAACCCCAAAAGTGGTGTCTGTTATTGAAAATGAAATACCAGCCAAAGTCGTCTGCTCAGCCAGGTATGTCATCAAATTACACTTCTTTAATCAAAGCTACCGGTAGACTTTGTACAAAGTCGTCTAAATGGATATCACTCTTTTATCTCTTCTTTCTTCTTGTTTGTAAGACGCGATTTTCTTTCTTACCTATTAACGTTGTCTCTTTATCTCTATTAGATTTGTTTTAAATAATATTTTCGTCTGACTGAGTGTCTACCTGAAATATATAATTATAAACGAATCTCAGAAGAAAGAAAGGGTCATTTTATACACTACTATAGACCTTTCTTTTAAATTACTCTATCTATTGCTGAAAACTGCATTAAAATCTGTTGCATACGAGTCATTTAAAAGAGCTAACGAACAAACAGCGGACAAGACTTCATTTTACACTATGTAATGATGTATATATATATGGACAACCTCGGTAGTTTAGCGGTTTAACACAACACTTTACGTCCGATGGTCGCGGGTTCGATTCCTCGCAATGCAAACATGCATTTACCATCAGACAAGGTAAGACATAGCGCAAACCTATTTATAATAACAAAAAAATATTTGTATTCATGAGTATAATTATTTGTATCGGTCTGGGTGTTTTCTATGTAAGTATATTATTTTTGTATTTACAAAAAAAATTAAGTATTTATATCAGTTGTCTAGTGCCCATAACATAGGCTAAGACTCGATGGCGTTGTGTTAATTGTCCAGGGTTATTTATTTATACTACTAGCTGTCCCGGTTAACGTTGTTTTGGCTTAAAATAAAAAAAAATTAGGGGTGGACTACCCCTAACATTTAGGGATGAAAAATAGATGTTGGCCGATTCTCAGACCTACCCAATACGCTCCCAAATTTCATGAGAATCGGTCAAGCCGTCTCGGAGGAGTTTGGGAACGAAAACTGTCACACGAGAATTTTATATATAAGATTATTTCGTAACATTTCCGTAAATGATCAGTATTGCACCAAAAACCACATTGTTGCAGAGGTTTCCCAGTGCCCAGCTACTCCTGGCGTCGGGAGCACTCCTCGAAGTCTGCCAGCAAGGACCACACCAACAACTCCTTGATCCTGTCGTCCTCCAACACACTGCTGCTAGGTCCTGTGCAGAGGAAGGATGGTGGCCACTACCTGTGTGAAGCTTATAATCGACATGGATCTGTTAACACCACTGTATTCCTTGATGTTATGTGTAAGTCATTTATATAAGTTACCAGCAGAACATATACCTATATATATATATATATTGAAATTTCACACGAGTGAAACCGCAAGCATAACTAGTAAATCTATAATTGAAATGATAAATCCATGGAGATATAAAAATCTTTATATATAAAGTTTACGTGTCACGTTGTTTGTCCGCGATGGATTCCTAAACTACTAAAACGATTGCAAATTGTGTGATCCAACTTGAAAGATAGGATAGCTTGCATCTCAATTTATATATATATATATACTAGTAGAAACGGCCACATGTTGCTGTGACTAAGGTTCATTAAAAAATAATATTGCGACTGTAAATTAAGATGCAAGCTATCCTTCAGTAGAATGCGAGACAGACAGACAGAGTTACATATTGTAACTAGCAGACCCAAGCACGCGTTGCCGTGGGAAACAGTTTCTTTATATATAAATATATGTATATAAATTGAGATGCAAGCTATCCTATCTTTCAAGTTGGATCAAATTGCACACAATGTGCAAATCAAATTTGCAATCGTTTTAGTAGTTTAGGAATCCATCGCGGACAAACAACGTGACACGTAAACTTTATATATAAAGATTTATTATATCTCCATGGATTTATCATTTCAATTATAGATTTACTAGTTATACTTGCGGTTTCACCCGCGTGAAATTTCAATATAAAATATAGCTTATGTTATTCCGATGCATAAGCTATATTACTGTAAAGTTTCATCCAAATCCGTTCAGTAGTTTTTGCGTGAACGAGTAACAAACATCCATCCATACTCAAAAACTTTCGCAATTATAATATTACTAGCTGCGCACGCGGTTTCTACAATCGCGGTAAATTTTCAATATAAAATATATGTAGCATATGTGTCATTCTGATGCGTAAGACTATATTACTGTAAAGTTTCACCAAAATTTAATAGTTTTTGCGTATCCTCAATAGTCGACGCCAGCACCACATTTCAAAGGCATCAACTCTTTGCCTGCGTAACAAACATCCATCCGTACTGACAAACTTTTGCGTTTATAATCTTGAAAAAAGGTAAGATAATGAATCTGTATTATTGTGAAAAACATGTATAACATTTATTTAAAAAAAATACGATTTCCGCCATTTCTAAGTTTCTTGTCAGTTCTCATCTCGAAATCATTCCGAACTGACGGTAGATTTGACATATCATAAGAGTCTGTAATGGACCTACATGAATAAAGATAATATTTTGAATTAAATGATTAATATATAATGGTAGTGCACCCGCCTGCGCTAACGGTTTATATGATTCTATTAAATAACATTACATGTATTTGATTAAATCATTTCAGTCGTTCCGGAATGCGGAATCAAGCAGATAGAGTTGGATGGGGAACAAGTTTTGGTATGCACAGCACATGCCAATCCTTCAGAGGTAATAAATTTTATTTATAATAATAATAATCTTAGGACAATTCACACAGCGCCATCTAGACCCAAGTTAAGCTAGCTAAAGCTTGTGTTATGGGTACTAGATAACTGATACATATACATAGATTTTTTTTTTCTAAATACATACACGACAAACAATCAGTTGACACCATCAGTCGTAAAGCGGTGTGCTAGACCGCTAAAATCGAGTCAAAAAAATGGGTATATGATTTTTACGCCCAGATGACTACCCCATCTGGGATATCAGTCAATTTTTTTCTGACTACTCTAATGCTGTTGGTCGCAGCTGGCATTTACGTGATGATAATGATGATGATGATGATGATGGTATGAGGATGTTTATGATTGGTTATAGTGTTTTAAATTGTGAATAATGTATGAGATGTGTGAATATCAATTTTTTTTTATGGATGATAATGGGTTGGTGCACTCACCTGCGCTAACGGTTTACGCGGGTTTTTTTTTATACTACGATGGTGGCAATGAAACATACGAAGCAGAAATAATATTATACTGAAATAGGTCCCCGGGCATTCAAATATTGATGGCAATGAGAATGCCGACCATCTGGCAAAGTTAGGGGCAAAAACCGTCCAACTGGGCCCCGAACCCTTCTGTGGTGTGCCTCGTTGCCTAAAACTGGGACATCTCAAATTAATAACCAAACGAGAAGCACTGAATCACTGGCAAGAAATGCCAGGATTAATACATTCAAAAGCCATAATATCGGGCTACTCGAACAAATACTCCAATAGACTACTGCTATTGACTAGGGCCCTCACAGGACACTGCAAATTAAACAAGCATATGGCTAGACGAGACATAGGCTAGCTATGCTTATGCACAGCAAAAATCTGCAGATTCTGCCAAACTGAAGAGGAAACGCCGCTTCACATCCTATGTGGTTGTAGCCCACTCATGCATAAACGAAATATCTCCTTTGGAAAGTTTACACTCTTTCCCGAGGAGATAAAAACCATCGCTCCTAAGAATATCCTTCAATTATTGTCCCTGACGGGTCTAGGTAGCGAACTTTGAAAAGGGCGAGCACAATAGATCTATGTAGGTCGCAGTGCAACCCTTATAAAAAAAGGCATACGAAAGATATAATAAGAATTCAATTTTAATTACAGGTTTTATTCTCGTGGAGATTGAAGAATGATAATGACAGCCTGACTGATGAGAAGATATGGCAGGTCGGCGCTCAGAGTTACTTACGCCTGAGCACAAGCGTCGAAGTCTACAGGACTTACTTATGTTTCGCTAACAACACTGTCGGTACCTCCAGACAATGCGAGCGTGATGTTATGGGTTAGTACTAAAACGAGTTAGATATTACCACAAAGCAACGTAAATCTCAAAAGAGAACATACTACACGCGATAAAAGCGTTGCCGAAAATAAATAAAATTAGTCATGCAAAAATTTTGTAAGTGGAATATGATCATTTTGTTAAACGGTCGATGATGATGATCGATGATGTTAAAATAAACCTACAATAACCGGGAAAAAATTAACAATGCTATAAAAATAATTTGAACTGATTACTGTTATAAATTTGAACAAACAATTACTAATAAATTGTTTAAAGAAAATTATAGAAAATCCTAAGAAAGTTTCAATAAACGGGAAATAAATATTGTTAAAAATTTGAACAATCAATTACTAATAAATTATTTAAAGAAAATTACAATAATCAATTATCAGATTACATAAATTAGGAAAGATCTAAATCAATCATTTCCTTACATATATCTTAATATACAATATATATGTGATGACAATTATGATATAAAAATAATTGAAATAAAATATAGGAATTATAATGATTTGGAACCATCGTAATTTTTATTTTTTATTTCATCATCTGATTAATTAAAAAGTTTATAACTACGTTGATAAACATTAACTTGATACAATTTAATTAAAATATTCAGCCATATCTGCGTGACCTTTTCATTACTCCACTTACCAAAATACATAAAATTGACAATACTATTTCTACTATCAAATATTTATTAAAAAATAGCTTTGACGGCCTCCGTGGTATAGCGGATTAACATACCGCCTTACTTCCGAAGGTCGCTGGTTCGATTTCGACCGACCGGGGCTTCGCTCGCTTTAGTTTATCCCCTTAGGGGTGGAATTTACCAAAATCCTTTCTTAGGGGATGCCTACGTCAGTCATAGTAGATTTATGCATGCAAAGTCTCAGCCCGATCGGTTTAAAATTGACAAAGTTTCATACAAACTTACACCCCCTATTTTATCCCCTTGGGGGTAGAATTAATCAAAATCCTTTCATAGCGGATGCCTACGTCATAACATCTACCTGCATGCCTAATTTCAGCCCGATCCGTCCAGTGGTTTGGGCTGTGCGTTGATAGATCACTATGTCAGTTACCTTTGAGTTATATATATTTAGATTCATAAAAAAACACCAGATAGCTACATACGTATTTGTATATAGCTATCACATGTTTCTAATGTCTCATACTCTTAGATACATATTTGCACAGTGCGAGAAATCGAACCCGCGACCATCGGAAATAAAGCAGTATCAGCAAGTCCGAGGCCGTCGTTAATTTTTAAAAAAGTAGCAAATTAAACGAAATATCTACCAGGTCAACCTTTATACCCCTACATTTGTAAGGGCATTGAAATATCGGCATATATAAATAATATTATATATTGTATACATTTTAAAATCGGGATATTTCCCGTTTATTTATTGTGTATAATATAAACCGTGAAAAAACGGTCATTATGACACTAATATATTGCAATGCACGCCGTAGTGTCACGTACACTACCAATAGCAGTGCAGTGCAGTGCAATAATAAATGCACTGCACTTGATAGTATCATATACACTAGCAAGTGCAATGCAGTGGTGGTAAGGATGACCATTTCGAACTAAATGGAGTGTCAACTTATCAATTATCTATAATTGTATGAAATAATTCTTGTATTCACACGTTTCGACTTGTAAATGTAAACTTACAAGGATTATTTAAAAGAGCAACACACAAGTTTCTTGCTCGTTCTTCTTGTGATGAGACAGCTTTCCGAACGAGTGGTAGATAAAAAACAAATTGTTATGACTATTCAAAAGTGCTTAAATTAAGTTTATTTGAATAAATGATTTTCTATTCTATTCTATTCTAATATGTACTAACAAATTTACTTTTTCGTTTCAAGCAAACTTGGAACTATATAGTAAGTGCTATGTATAATTGTTTTATTTATATAATAGTTTATTGCAACAACATATAATAATAATAATAAGTTTTTAGTACACGTAAGCAAAGATATTAGGTGGAAAAAAAATTCCAAAAGGCGGTCTTATCGCTATTAGCAATCTCTTACAGACAACCTGAAAGGACATGAACAAATTATTATTTTATTAATTTTGTTTTTATTAAATATTCTATCACTGTCTGAAATTAAGAAAATGTCTGAAAATCAATTATTATGTACCAGAGCGTATCCGTACCCCATCCATTTATTGAGGGTTTTGGACTATTGTCAAGTGCTAGGACCTGTAGTACTACATAGATCTATTGTTCTCGCCCTTTCCTAAGTTCGCTTACCTAGACCCATCACGAATAAGAAATGAAGGATATTCTGACGTACTTTAGTCCTTTATTTTATCGAGTGTCAAAATCATCAATCTCAGGGTCTATACTATTTATGTAACCAAATTTCATTAGGTTCAGTAATTTTGCCATGCAAGCGTGACAGACAAACAATTACTTTCGCATTTATAATATTCGTAACTATATATAGATAATATATGTATGTATATATATTGTAATCGCTACCTTGATTTACTTCAAAATTGTACTACAAAAAGGTCTATGTCCAGCAGTAGACGTCTTCCGGACTGCGATGATGATGATGATGACTTTAAAAATATGCGATTTTGACTGTACTTTGTACATTTTTACTTGATTATGTGATGATTAATTGGTAATTGGGATCGATAAAGCTTACTTCCGCGTTGACTGACATTGATTTCATCACCATTGAAGTCAATTTGTTTTTATATAACATAACAATCATCAATCGCGTAGATATCAATCATAATATTATTCACTAATCATAACCAAAGTACTAATATAGTTACATACTTGATATACTTGATCACATATGCATGATGACTAGAGCCCTCACAGGACACTGCAAATTAATCAAGCATATGGCTAAACTAGGCCTATGCACGACAAAAATCTGCAGATTCTCCCAAACTGAAGAGGAAACGCCGCTTCACATCCTATGTGGTTGTAGCCCACTCATGCATAAACGAAATATCTCCTTTGGAAAGTTTACACTCTTTCCCGAGGAGATAAAAACCATCGCTCTTAAGAATATCCTTCAATTCTTGTCCCTGACGGGACTAGGCAGCGGACTTTGAAAAAGGACGAGCACAATAGATCTATGTAGGTCGCAGTGCTAGGTGCTACAAACATCTAAAAATAGCCCAAACAACCGAATAAAAAAAATACATACTTTTGCATTTGTTATATCTTATCTGTCTCTTAATATAACTAGAGTGGCTTACCAAATACTGTAAGCGGTGGGGACGGAAGCAGATACTGGTATTACACACAGGAAGGGATCGAGGGAGTAGGTACACGACACGACACGAACACTTTAACACTTTTATTTACAACTAGCTTTTGCCCGCGGCTTCGCTCGCGTTAATTTATCCCCTTAGGGATGGAATTTATCAAAATCCATTCTTAGGGGATGCCTACGTCATAGTAGCTTTATGCATGCAAAGTCTCAGCCCGATCGGTTGAAAATTGACAAAATTTCATACAAACTTTCATCCCCTATTTTATACCCTTGGGGGTGGAATTAATCAAAATCTCTTCTTAGCGGATGCCTACGTCATAACATCTACCTGCATGCCAAATTTCAGCCCGATCTGTCCAGTGGTTTGGGCTGTGCCTTGATAGATCACTATGTCAGTCACCTTTGTGTTACTTAGATTTATAGTACACGTATATGACACACATATTCTCAGTTTTTTTGAGAATGATCATAAACAAGGAGGTTATACTGGCGCTATTAAACTTTAGCATCTCTATCTAGTTCTTTTTTTTATGGATGATAATGGTATGGTGCACCCGCCTGCGCTAACGGTTTACGCTGGTAGGACACCAGTGGAGGATGATAAGATGAGGTCAGGTCAGTTAGCACATCTTGGCAAATGGTAAATTACCACGATGATTTCCAGGGAACTGCGTGAAGGTCAAGCTGACATGGTTGTTCGTAATAAGGTTATTAGTCCACATTACTAACAATCCGATTCCTCCCATTAATCAGGTTTCTAGAACCAAATAGAAATATAAATAACCTTCTTTGGTATCGGCAAATTCAGCCTCGTGATCTTTGCGTTGGGACAAAGCTGGTGATTTATAGCCCTGATTTATTATTTGGGTAGAAAATCTCTCTCAAACATTGAAACAGCTTTGATCTCAAACATTTACTGAGAAAAGTAGACCAAACTGCAAATCATTATCAAATATTTGATTATACTATCATCATTAAGATATTTTTTATCTGTCACAAAGTCTTGCGAATAAAGTCCAGTTTTTGTTCAAAGGTTGTGTAAATAATAGACATACATTTTAAACGCACATCTATACTAATTGTACTTTAAACATTCATAATTACATCAGTTCTTATTATATAAAATACAATTAATTTTAACAACTCATCTGCGAAGAAATCTATTATTGGACTTGTACACTGTAACCACATCTCTGAGAAATCCTGTAATTGGTCTCACAGATGGGGTGTTAATGTCTTTTTGATAGTTAACAGTTGAAGGGTTAAGTGTCGTAACCTAGTAGTTTACTATCACAAGAGGTCGTTGATTCAAATCTAGACGGCACTAAAAAAGTGTTAATTTATATTTCTATATAATCCTACGATGACGGAAACATAGATAATATAGTAAAAAATAATGTGATAAATGCCATAGATTTACCTCACGCTAATAGGAAGTCAAATATATAATAAGTACAGAATCAAAGATGAACAGACAGATACTCGTAGTTGACAACGCCTTACTACCTGACTACCCCATCTGCAGTAACAACGTGACGTACACAAAATCTACTATTTATGCAACAGCATTTCTAAATCAGCTTTAGCAAATGTACAAACGTGCATTAAAAAAAGAATCATTAAAATAAAGAATTCTAGTTCCAAATTTAAAATTACTGTTAACAGGCCGAGTACCCTGGTGGCGGGATCAACAGAAACTGATACTGATCGGTGGCATAGCTCTTGCCATTCTGGTGATCACGGTGATACTCTGTATCATCATCATCTGCGTGTGTCGGCGGATGAGGGCGAAATCCAAATGTAAGTCTGTCATTTTGACAGTATTGTTAATTGTGTTTTGACAGTGATATCACGAGATTGACAGTAAGTCTTGAGTGTGTACCATTTTGAAATTCGAATGCATGTGTCTTGTTTAATATTGTTGTTAATAATTTAAATCACGTTCGAAATTTAAATAAACTAAATTGTATTGTTAAATTAGTTTAATAAATTAACTAAATTTCATTAAATTATTATTAATTTAATTTAATTAATAATTTGACGTTTTTTCTACTCTTTCTCGGATGCCGCTTGTATACCTAACACATCAACTAACTACACAATCACAAAATCTAGATAATAATCCTGTGGAACTCGAGGAACGCGAGAAGTAAGTTTTTTGTGTCATATTTTTACTAAAATTCCTCTTACTTTAGTCACCTAATATAGTCATGAATGTTTTATGCATTACATTTAATTACAGTGCAGTTTTATTTTAACATTTCTTAATTCCATTTATGTTTTATTTAATGAAATCTATACTCATGTTATTCATATAAAAGCAAATCGTAATAATTCAGTTTTGATTAATTAATAAATAAGCTATTTACTTTTATTATTAAAATATAGTTTTATAATCAACTTATTATTTTATATAGTACTGACGTTGATGCTAGAAACGAAATAATAATGTTAAAATAATTTATTTTATTTATTTATTTACAGTTATAGTTAATTATGCTTTATATTTACTTGTAATCATTTACTTATATTAGCACTTTCTAGTCTTTTTATTATGGTATGGTGCACATATTATTATATTATTTTACATTGATATAATTTATACATTTTATAGTACATAAAAAATCTAGGCTTATATAAAAAAAAATCTAAAACGTTAGTCAAATTCCTTTTTAGTATTAGTAGTAGTTGTAGGGGTTCTAATTTATTTAATTAGGAGCAATTATATAGTGGAACTGGATATTTTCAGCAACGCCATTGGTCCGAGCAGATTCATGGCATACGTTGTCCATGCCACCCTCAAGGTCACCCCTAGTTGTGCAAATGGCGAGGTCTTAATATCTTAAAAGGTCACGTTTGAGTTTTCGCCTGTAATTTCGCTGAACGCTTGGACCAACGGCTCTCATACGGTCTCATCTAGTACCTGAATAACTGACTAATGTTAATTGACTAGTTGAATAGTGATAGTGATTAGTGGCATGATCCTGTTTACTCCTAACATTCTAACACGTGATATCATTATCATCAATAAAATGTACAACAATAATATTTTATATATTATTTGTATATTTTCTATTGTAGGTTCCTAACAGCACTAACCCCAGATGTTCTCAGACTGACTACAATTAATAGTTCAGGTATTAATTTACTAACACGAATAATTTATTTTCTTATATTTCTCTTCGTAGATGGAGAATGCTTTCTTATTTTTACACGCTCATTTCTGGCTCTATCATTTGACATTGGATATTTTTGTGTGAACTTTCTGTAGCGACTTTACGGATTTCGTAGTTGATTTATTGTTGACAAAATTTTTATATTAATGCATGTCAGTTGTTTGAAAGCATTCTTCTAGTATATATTGGCATTATATATATGTATTTCTGGTTATAATCTCTATTTTTAATCGCTATCGTACGTATCTATCAATTATTACTTATTTTAACACGTTATTTATCACAACCGGATCCTCTTATAATTAATATCACTTGTAAAGTATTAGTTTAAAATCTTATCTGTCTCGAACAAAATGTATATTTATCAATCCCACTGATTGTCTGTGGTAAAATAGAATGAAGTTTTTCTGATATTTTCTACATTTTAAAGAATTACCTGAGAGCGTCCATTTCATTGCGTAATTGATTTATATTGTTTTGTTTAATTCCGAATATCTGGAATCATATGCGGAATTAAACAAAATAATATAACCTCATTCCCTTATTTACATTAATGATTAAATTATTGTTATTTATATATTTATTATAATATAAATATATGTTTAAAACTCTTCATGACAATGTAGACTATTAAATAGATATTGAAGTATATTGTTAGACACACTTTATCTCCACTAATCTCTACATATGTTGGATTGTACAATATTTATCTATAGTTAACATGATTTAAGCTGTTAATCCCAACCTTTGTATTTGGACTTTTGCAACTATATTTTGATAAAAAACTGACAAATCAAAGAGTAAATAGTTTAGAATACGTGAATAATTTAACAAAAATATCACTTTATTTATAACAGTGATTTCATCATTCTAATGAGTAATCAGCTATTCGTAGTGATTTTGTAATATTTTAATACTATTTTAACACCATCATTTATACTATATGTTATAATTTTTTATGTAGATTTGTAAATTTTGATAAAAAACAGTTCTATTGCTGGTGATAAGAAAATTACGAATAGATTGAAGCTAGGTATAATTCGAATTAGAAATTTAATTTTATTACTACATTTATGTTTCCATATGCCAGTTCCCTTACGAGGCAGGGAAAAATAATAGATTTATCTTTGTCATAGAATGTATTAATAATGTACATTGTTTCTTGTTAGTATAATTAAATTATATGTAATATTATTCATCTCTCATAATCATCAGCATGAATCTAACATCATTTTTTGTTTTCATGATTCTGTTATACAGTCCGGATGGTAGCTGTTTAAACGAGGTGTCAATAGCTCAGTCGATAATATCACAAGCTTTGCCCGCATTATCACCACGATTAAGCATATCTTTTAGTCCCAAAACATCGGATCGTACTCGACTTGTCGACTCACAGAGCTATCCTAATTTAGAAATGAATAAATTTAATGAAAATACCAGTAGCTTACAAGCAAACCTTTCACAATTAGAAGCAACAATAAATAATCAAGTGATAGAAGAAGCAACTGAAACACAAACACCAAAAATTGAATCCAAAAGTGAGAATAATAAAGGACAAACTATAATGACTCCTAGTAAATGGCCGTTGAAACCAGGTGTACTCGTTCATGTGAATTCTAATCATTCATTGAGTCCTAAAAACCAAGCACGACTTCAAAATGCAAACAATCAACAAAACACTGATCAGACAGAAGCCAATTTAGGATTACTTGAGCGAAATAAGAAAAATGACGATGATAAACTTCCCTCTAAGACTGAATATTCTAGAAAGAATGGAAAACCAAGAAGGCATACACAAAATGTTGTATCTGGAATTCTAAAAGGATTAAGAAAACGAAACGAAGATTCTGATGACGACAGCGGTAAATACAAGAAGATAAATAAGACTAACAAAAGAGCTATGTCATTGATGAGTTTGAATAAACCGGGTTATAGTTTACCAAAAAGTAGATTTAGGTCATTGTTTCACAGCGAAACACCGAATGTTATTGTAACTGAAGGAGGTAGATAGACTGTTCATAATAACTTCACAATATTACACTTTATTGGACTATGTTTGAGATAATATCATATCTTTACCATTATTCCACGTTCATGTATATAATTTTTACTTTAAATATATTTAAATAAAACTTCTGTCATATTTTAAATTTGGTTTATATTAAATCGCTTTAATATTCTACATTTATCTGTTGTTATATCAATTTAGTTTATATTCATTTATGTTAATAATACATTAATATTATCTCTTACATTATATCCAAGAATACTTTACACACCTTTACACACAACTTCAAAATCATCCGTAACTTCTTGCTTTATTACTTTATTTGCTGCTGCACGATTTTGTTTTGTATTTTTTTTAACATAACGCATGTTTTTAGTGGTATCGTTCAAAAGACCTGATAGAATAGCATCCACAAGCGTTAAACATTTAAACGATGAACCTGCTAAGATTACAAGGAAGCGGAAGAAACCGGGAGAGAGTAAGTCGCATGATTTTTCTTCTGCAAGCTACTTTTTTATATTTCTTGCATTGTTGTGTCATTGAAATCATCATCACTACAGATTTTATTATATCATTTGTCACATTAATAATGATTTATTAATAAGTAAAGTTACTATTAGTTGAAATTCTTACTAGTTCAGAAGTTATAATAAAAATAAATGCCATCCATCATTATCATTTGAGAATGATTTTAATAAAGAAATATATTAAACTATTTCTAAGTAATTGTAATTAAATTTTAGATCTATTGTAGTTATCAAGTGATGTAATATTTTGTATGTATAAAATACTGTACCATTTTCTATAAAAATGTATTAAATGTATATTTTTTTGACAGGCCCACCTACGAATGGCGTAGATAATGCGGCGAACGGCAATCTAGGAGCGGACAATCCAGGACTCTACGAAAATTTGCCGTTCCATGGTCTCCAACAACCACCGAATAAGGTAGATGTTCATATTTATTGAAATAATGCTACAGACTCCATTTATCATTTGCACAAAGCAACTGATGTATGTTTATTAAAAATACTCTAGCTTTATTTGTTTCACGAACAGCAAATTTGAAAGGGACACCTTTCTGTAAAATGCAAACACTCTTACCATGTGATTTTAATGAAATAAAATGACAATTATTTAATAGTACAATATTGGATGAGACTCTTTGCATTTCACAAAACTTGATAATGTCTATTTTTGATAAATCAGACTGTAATAACTTATTAATAATCGCGATTCAGTAATATTTCATCACTAATTAATCAATGACTTAATAATCTATAACAATTTTCATTATTATTGTCAAGTACATTTTTTTTATTTACCATACAATGTTAATTTAAACGATCTGTTTCCATACTAACATCAGTACTAAAAGTCTATATTTTAGTAATCTGTCTAATTTGTACCTCATTTTTTTTCTTACTACTTATTATTTCATGTAGAATGCAATATTATCAGTATGATACTAAGTATATATATTTATTTGTATTTATACTATGTTACTAAAAAGTTTTTGATGATATTGTATTCCAATTTGCTTCATACTTTATTATTTGCATGTCTAATTATTTTATTTCCTTTATTTCATGTTTTGTTTGGCATGCGTAACAAAGCCCGTGCAAGCTATCCAACCTAGAGTGGTCGAAACCAATAAAAAAACTGTAAAAGGGATTCAACAATTACAAAAGCAATTGACAACTAACCCTTCATTCACCCCAAGGGTAGTATGTCCACCATTCGTACAAAGTGCTATTACATATCCAGTTTCACCAGCGTCAAGTTCCCAGTACTCATATGGTATACCACTTTTATCTCCTATTCAACAAATGTATCCACTGCATCCAACGGTGTTATTGAATCCGTACTTACCTGCGATGCAATCATCTTTCCTTAAACAATTCCCCACTATAGACGAAGAGATCTCAGACACTGATACGAGAAAATTCTCCTCGCTAAATGTGAGAAATGAGAGGAAAATAAAAAGAATACCACAGTTTCAATCCATGAGGATAGTGAGGAAACGAAATATAGAGAGATTTTATCCTAATACGGAATATGGAGAAAATTTTAATGAAATTAATAATAATAAAGAAAATCAAGAAGAAATAGAGAACGAAAAAGAAACGGACGATGTAGCTGATAAAGATATAATTTATGCTAATTATCCATCATTGCTTAAAGTTAAATCAAATATAAGTGGAATCCAAGAATTCGAAAATTTAACTGACTCAATTCAAATATACGAAGAAAGTATAGATATGAACACGTCTACTACATCCTTAAATAGACCAGTTCCTGCACCTAGAACTAAAATATCGCCTGTTATATCACCTACAAAATCAGATCATGTTTATATGAATTTATCTATGCCAATGATAAACTCCAAACTCTCAGAATCAATTGATACTATTGATGGTGCTATAAGACCTACTAAGTCTGCAGAAGATTTACCAAAAACTGTTAATAAATCTCAAACACCTTCAGTTGTTGCGCCAAAAAGAACAACAAAAAGTGGTCTACCAGAAAGTAACACCACTAATAAAAAAGTCGAGGATGAGGAAAACTCAGAATCTAATAAACCAAATATCATAGGTGCAACGCCTAAAAGGCACCTATCTGTAATACTACCATCTACTTCACTCGTGAAATCGGTTGTTAATCAATTAAATGAACAAGCAGGAATAAACAAAGTCGGTTTACCTATGAAACAAGTAATATCACCAAATAAAACGTTACAAATACCAAAGCTGACTGAAAAACCTATACCAAAGAAATCATTAGTTAGACGTAGTAACTCTGTTCAAAGCCATTTAACTGCGTACAATGAAAACGGTCAGGTATACTGCTTTTTATTTTTTCATTTTTTATTCTATTTTTTTTATCCCATTTTCATTGTGTTATGTCTCGCTTTACTAACAAAGGTATGTTTCATTTTACAGAATACTAACATACTACAGCAACAGTACATGCAAAAACGAAATCATTTTACTAACTTAAGTTCTAAAGGAAAAAACAAGAAGAATTTCCAAATACCATTACAGAAACATCATAGTTTCTGTTATTTTCAACCTATTAGAGTAGATAAAAGAATACCTGTAGATCAAGAAAGAGCGTACAATAATACTATAGGTCCTTTAATATACCAGCCGGCCGAGGCACAATATTATACGAAAACATTAAACAGAACTCGAGAAAAGAACAGTCACAAACTCAATCGTTTGAAAAAATCTGAAAGTCTACGAGAAAAATTGTCGTGTGTCGGAGTTTACGACAATTATGAAAAACCTGACTATCCAGAGCCAGAATATAATGAATCAGAAAGAAGATCATATTTACACCTCCTGAAAGGGAACTACATATCAAATTCAACAAGAAACTTGGGTCCCGAGCAGACAACGAGTTCGAATTTCAACACGCTCGGTCCTAGAGATGAGAAACCTAAACATAAAAAATTAGTGTACGCTGATTTAGCTTTAGGTAATCACAATTTGAAATTTAAGAATACAGTCAATTCTAATAGACATTTGTATGATACATACACTATAGGTAACGCTGATAGTACTAACAAAGATATTAATAGTAGTTATAAGAGTAATGTACCTAGTAGCCAAAGAAAAGGTAGTCACAATCAACAGAGAAGTGATTATGCTACACTTAAATTTAATGAAATCGACGTTTGAGAGGTGAGTTACTAGTCTTAAGATACAAATTAATTAAATAGTTTATCACTATTTAGATTTTAAAGTTGCACCTTTTTCTTTTCATGTACAAATGAGATTTTTATAGATGATCTCATTAAGAGAGTTCATTGCAGAAACTTTAATCATATATTATCCTATATAAAATCTACCACGAAGTACTATGAGCAACATGCAAGTTTCTTGCTCGTTCTTCTTGTGATGAGACAGCTTTCCGAATGAGCGTGATAACTATGACTATTCAAATAAATGGTTTTATATTCTATTCTATTCTATGTACATCCACTTCTTATTTTACTGTTACCAAATACTTTATTACCATCATAACATAATAAATGCACAAACAACCTACTAGTTCTTTACAGAACTTTTTAAGTACTGTTATAAAATAATTTTAATTGTCATTATCAAAATAGCTTCAAATAATCTTAATACAGAATACTTATATATTTTATCTTCGTACAAGACTTTTTTTATATTAATAACTAGTCTATATACAGTAATATATTTTAACTCATTTATTATAAATACAACTATAACATTTGCATTTTCTAACATTACAAATAATAATACTGTTTTATTAAATTTTATATATATACTTTTAATGGTAATATGTGCTTAAATGATATAATTTTCTACTATGAAATTAAAATAAGCATGATTCCCAAAAACAACCGCCCCAAATAATGCCACCGAAGCATGCAAAATCGTGTTGTGACGTTTTGTCTTTTTATTTCTAGGAACGCTTTACCAAGAGTGACACGTACATTTTTTAAATAAGAAGGTAATTTCAAAATTAATTCCAAATTGCTTAATTAACTGCTTGATAATATAAAAATCATTATTATGCGCTTCTAGCGAATTAAGAACTTTGGATTTAGTTTGACACTAGTGTTTCCAATATTTTGTTTGTTACTACAATTGTTAACAACTTTCTTTCTTCTATCTATACTGTTTCTTATTAATTAACATGCTATTATAGAAATGTCTTTATGCAAATCTTTATTTCATTCTAAATGATAATATCATTTAACACATATTACCATTTTTTTATGTTTATTACAGCTAAGTCTTAAAAATATGTTTATATCTAGCAGTGATTATTTATATATATTTATTATTAACACTATCAAATTTCATATAATCCTTCTATGAAAATGTAGAAACATTTGAAATTGCATAAAGAAATGCAAAATTAACAAATTTATTATAAATTGTTTGCAAATACTAATCAATGTTTCATTTATTATCTTAAGTTAGAGGCGCAGAAATTATTTTTGTATAGGTATCATTATTATATTACACTTTATTCTTATTAAATTAAATTAAATTAAATTAAATGTATTTATTTGCATGAAATATTAAAATAATATCAGTATTAATAAAATAGTCCACATATTTCGCCATTGTTTTGGCATGCATCATTTTAGTAATATACAAATTTTACAATAGAATAAATGATGAATTTATACATAAAAATTACATTATATGTCAAATTTAGGTATTCGTTGCTATATTATTATCATCATCTTTATTATTACTATATGTTGGTATTATTACAATGATGTAGTCTTACAATAACAGGTTATTGCCCCACTGTTGGGCATAGATCATTTTTTTAGAGAGACTTAGCCTATGGAATGCATATGTCTAGGCAAACGTTTTTAGATTTTTCTCTGTCTTATATCTTATTGTTTGTACTTAACTACCATAGTTTAAACGTCATCTTCAAATAAAATAGTAGTAGTGATACAACTATATTCTTTGCCCCGACATCACTTGAAGTAACATTACATTGTACTAAGACAATATTTTCTATCACAGCCTTTTAGACCGGATGACCAGTTTATATACGCTGACGCCGATCTCAAAGACTACGGGCCAATCAACTACAAGGCAGCGTCGATCTACTCTCAAATGAAGAAAATAAAGGAGCAACAGAAACTGCAGGAGATATACGACAAGCAACACTCCGACGACGACCTGCTGTGATTACAAAACGCGATCTATCATCGTCTAAAAATTACAACATAATTGTCCGAAGGGTTGGTAAAATACACCCAATACTTGTGTTCGTTAATTTCCGTAATATGCATTTTTTAATATCTTGACTTATTTGTACCACAAACATTCATAGAAATGACAGTCTGTAAAAATAATTTTACTTAGTTAAAATAAAACTGTCAAAATTAAATATATGTTGACTTTTAAATCAAGATTTCTCATATTTGGATAAAGAGTTATTTTTACAGATTGTCATAATCTGTAAAAATAATTTGACTTAGCGAAAATAAAACTGTCAAAATGAAATATATGTTATTTTAGTTACAAAATAAATAGTCAGGATTTCTTATATTTGAATAAAGAGAAGTTCGATCATGTGGTGATTATTGTTAAGTTTTATTTTATATATTATAATTGCATCAATAACAATGTAATTTAAATTTGGTTGATAGAAAAATTTAATAGAATCTTTGAGATGTTGCGTAATTTAACGACGAATATAGTTGCATCGGATTGGAACGTAGAACCCCAAATTAGGAAATGTACAGATTTTAAAATATAAACAAAATGTAAATAAATGTAGATTTCGTATAGTAAACGTAACTATTGACAATCGTTTTGCGAAGTAAAAAATACATTTATTTTTCTAATTATAGCGAAATATCTCAAGATAACTAATTTTTGTGGATTTTTTATTTTCAAACTGGTATTAAGTATAAAATATCATAAGACAAGTATTATGTGTGATTTTTATATTATTTCATTTTCAAAATTATTCTTACGTTTTAATTTTAAAACATATAGATTGTGCATAAAAGTGAAAATGAAAATACATAGAATATAATTTAACTAAAATTTCAGTATTGAGAAAAATAAATGTACTTTTACTTAAATGTAAAACGATATTAGTTTGGAAGGTCAGAAGAATTCAAAATCCCTTTTTAACGAACAGGGTATTTGATTGGAACGCATACATGGATCCAAATCTGAAAAACGATCTATTTTGTGACATAACACTGAGACTTTATGTCACAAAATAGTTTTGACAGTTCAGTTCAGCATCGCTTGTAGATCAACAACACTTAGTTATTTAATATCCGTCCATGCGGGAATGTTACAAAATTAGTCGAGATTAGTTAGTACCCACGTGTATGTAAATTATTGTAAATTACCCTTATTTATAGTTAATAGTCAGATGATCAAAGACTATCCAAAGATAGGGATCGGTAAGTTAGATGAATAATCGTACTGATCAGAGCAGAAACATAGTGTTCACATACGACATTAGCATTTTAATTATTAATTCACAATTGCAACAAAACACGAGTATTGTTCGTGAATATTTTTTTAAAATACAAATATTTTTAACATCGCTTTAACGAAATAACATTAATATAATAATTGTGATAATAGTCTGAAATATTTGTTGTTTAGAAGCGGTCGTGTCATTTTGACAGTTGACGGACATTTTGACAAATCATACTGTCAAAATGAGCCGACTCTCTGGTTTAATGTTAAGTTTTTTCAACTGTGTCGTGATTTAATTAATAAAACCTGTGAGACTAAACAATATTTTGTACTTAATTATATATCTAAGTTAGTGTTCACACATTAATATACATAACGTGGTAAACACTTCAAATATGGGTAACGAAACTGGAAACAAACACTCATAAACAAATATTTGAGGCCTACTATAGATAATTTACTTTATTTTCTATTTTGATAACTATTACATATATTTTATTTAATTAATTTCTTTATTAATACTAAAAAATGGATTACAAAATTATATTTATATAAATTCTATGAAATATACAGAATTAAAAATAAATTATATATACACAATATTATTTCAAATATTATATTATTATATAGCAATAATACAAGAGAGATTTTTTTTTATTCTTTGTAAAGTTTTGGTATATGTTAAATTGCTCGTTTGGGGATTTTTTTATCTGAAGTTTCTCTCAAAAATTACTTACATAGTATGTAAGTATTATTTATTATAAAAATACCTCTAACTAATCCACCGAGGATGACAGTTGTAAGTGTTGTAATTATTAATTTTAATATTTTTTCCACAATTTTGTATGTCTTTTCACATTATCAATTCACCACGCGTCTTGTGACAGATTTAGGAAAAAAAACTAGTATGTTAAAATAGGAAAAGTTTTGTACATACAACTTGTTACAATATTGTCAAATAGTGTTAATAAATTAATTTATGGATTTTTAATTGTTATTTCATTATTTTTAACATATCCTACAAACAAGTGGAAGTGAGAAAGTGATAAAAATGAATATATTTCGCCTTTATTTTATACTACGTACGACACATCTGATGATAAACGGAAGCCGTGATCTATAAACGCCGGAAACACCAGAGTATCACATGCGCGTTACCGACCCTTAACAAACTTTAATATACCCTTCTTAAAAAATACTCCATGCCGTAGTTTTTAGAGAAAATCTCAGCAAGTAGGTTTTTATAATGACATGGCAATGGAGCACCCGCCTGCGCTAACGGTATACGCTGGCACAGCACCAGAGGTTTCTTAAGTGTTAAAAAACGTGATGACTACTCAAAAGTGCTTCAATGTAAGTTTATTTGAATAAATAAATTCTATTCTATTTTATTCTTGTTGCCAACCCTGGTAGTAGGTAGAACTTTCTATCTTCTATTCTATTTTCTATTCTCTCGAAAGAATAGAAAGTTGTTATTTTTTTATTAAGTGACACATTAGTGTTATCAGTTTGTTACTAACAAATCATTACGTGGGTTTATTATAAATAAAATATTTATAAATAAATATTTATTATAATTTGGGTGGTTATTATAAATAAAAGTAAGCCATAATAATTATAATTAAACAAAGCATTACGTGGGATTTATAAATAAAAGTAAGCCATAATAATTATAATTATTTTAATTCAAATATATCAAACTTCTTCGACAATTTGTTTACTTATATTTATCTTTTAATTATCACAGCCAGTTTTAACATATTGTGACTCAACTAAAATCACTTAAGCATTTCTTCATTATAATAATAAGTTTTATACATAAATTATATTACAATAGTAATTACATTTAATCGTTAAAAATATTTTATACATATTTTACAAATATAAGTTGAATTATTTATATTTAAATTCACTTATTTTGTAAATAATTACAAATATCCCATTCGTTTTGGGTAGGTCGAATATATTATTTACATTTAACATTTCATATAATCAATCACAACATTTACATTTTTACTAGTTACATTTAAAATATCACAATTCATCATTAAAATATATTTAATAAGTACCTATATTTATAATCTATTGTTGTTTCGCAAAAATATTGAAATTACATTTAACTATATAAAATTTACTTTTCAAATAACGCTTTTATATATTTAATATAGGTACCTATTTTGAACTTTATAGGTTAATGGATTAGACCATTATTCCAATAAAGCTTTATCCTCAATTAGATATTAAATCGTTTTTCGTTTAATATACTCCGATAAAAATCGCAACGTTGATTTCTCATTATGATCATTATGATATATGACCATAAGTAATTTTACTTTATTTCCTGCAAACTAGATGTCATTGTTTTAAAATGCAAAATGACGGTATTAAAACATTTTCTGTTTTAATGACCTGTCTATAGATTGTTTTAACAATAACTATATCGCTGATTAAATGCCAAAGGGCCACAACGCAAAAAAACTGACATTATTTTTTTCCAAAAATGGTATCTAAATATAATTTTTATATTAAAAAAAGACACCCATGATTCTAAAGCCAACACATTACACATAGATTCGTAAAAAACGTAAAAATTTCACAGTGAAAATTTTGATTAATTTACCCTATGCGTCATGTGGGCTTTTTCCATTTAATCAACAATATGGTAAATACCAGTACTGTTCCTGTCACTGAAATAATTGTGGTTGATTCGACTGAAATATTACTATCAGTATTAATGATCAACATATATTTTTACCCTCACCGTTACTGTTGCCATTTACACTTTGTAGTCACTTGACTACTCAATCAATCTTTATCCATCTTATCTTCAATTGATTCCCTGTACATTGTACATACATATTTAATATATAAAGAACTTAAACGAGGAACATATTACCTTTCTTTCTTTCACATAACAACAAGTGGCTTCATACCTCCACATTGCATATTTTCCTTCCAGATAATACTGGAAACTGAACTTAATAAATTAATACAAAGTCAAACTCTCACAGCCACACATCCTATGTAGTTATAGCCCACTCATTCACAAACTAAATATCTCTTTTTCAAAGTACACACTCTATCCTAGGGATAAAAACCATCTCTCCTAATAATATCCTTCAATTCTTGACCCTGACGGATCTAGATAGCAAACTTTGAAAAAGGGCGAGCACAATAGATCTGTGTAGGTCGCAGTGCTACAAGTTCAAATACCTGGAAATAGCTCAATAAAAAAACTCACATAGACAAAAAACTATAAAATTCTAACTCTAGAACAACTTTCAAACTTCCTCATACACTCCATGTTCATATTGTAAAACCGTTTTCGATCACATCTTTGCCACAAACCACTACCTTTCATCCATTACTTTAAATTCCTACTTTCAGTTAGGACCCTCTAAATTTAAGTAACATTTAAAAATTACGATAAAAATATTGATGTTGTGATTTTTATTGGGAAACTAAATGTTATATCTATTCGTCTAGTCTTAAAGAATCTGGGACACATTAAGATTAACTTCTACATCATGTTAACAATAAATATTTAAGTAATAAAATTCACCCCATTCCTATCTTCACCCGAGTCAATACGAATCAACTTTTTAAAATCTTAATATCCTAATTTTAATACCATTTTAAATTTGCGTTCAATTTACGCATTAAATTCAATCACATTAATCTCCATTAAATTATAATTAATTTTAATTAATTATGAAATTATTTCATTAATTTTGAAACTAATTATTTAATTTTGAAATTTATTCATTAATTTTGAAATTATACATCAATTTTGAAATTATTTCATTAATTTTAAATTTAATTAATTAACCTAACTATATGCGTCTGAATGAAAATATGATTGATAACTAATCCACTTTGGAATACTCAATAATTAGGTAGATTACAATAATTAATTATTTTAAAAAGTCCAAACAGCACAATTCTATACATTCCTAAACATTTAACATTACGTTTACTCAGTTGTACAGAAAAATCGAAACAATATTTAGTACACGCATATAGAAATTCTGACAATGTAAGTAAATACCTACGAAATATGCAGGTTCCAGACCCTAAGAATATTCTTCTACACATTTATACATATTGAAAACTAAGATTTAATTATTAAAATATTAATGAAATTATTCATTAATAACAGAACAATGATATGAATCATTAAATGATGAAATTTAATTATTAATGTATTACAAAAATCTCATATCAGAATTATCTACGGCGGAGCTGGTGAATAACCTCAAGATAATCATTTTATTGTAAAAATAAACACATATTGATATGCTTTCTTGGAAAATTGGATAAACTTTTACCGATTATGACGGGACTTTTTTTGGCAGGTAGCTGATGTAATAAGGAGTAAGTTAGGCTACTTTTATTTTAGAAAAATAAAGTTAATTTACACGCACGAAGTCGCGGGAACAGCTAGTTAATAATATAATTAAACGGGTTTTATAATTAAACACAGTCAGCTCGTAGTTCAACATAGTGGTAACATAGGGAGAGGTAAATAAATTTATTTACCATAAAATTAATCGTGTTAAAAGCCATTGAACTATATTAATAACAGTTGAATTACTCAATGCTATCAATAAATAGCTTTTCTATTAATCTCAATGCTTTAATAGATAAAGTATAATATATGTTTCATATAAATATATTTATGGAATATAAAGGCATTTAATCAGAGTATGGATTATGAATTAATCTCAGTTAATGTTAAAATATACGTGTATAATTATTATCTACTTTAAAGCTAGAATCTATGATTAATTTAGTAGAAGTCATACTGCCCTCTGCCGAAGTATACATAATCGGAACACCACTTCCTGGCGTCCAAATCAGTTGAGCAGCACGCTGGGAATGCTTGTTTGGACTTCGTGAGTTTGGCACATCTTTGACAGAGGTCTAGTAATTCATCCTGCAACAAAAATAGACAGTTTTAGATCTGATATCACATGTAGAACTATTCTGGAAGCATCACTTACGAATTCGAAAGCGAAATTGAGATTGTATATTGGTATTCTGTAAAACTCGATAATGACTGCAGCGCCACACGCTCGATTACGGGGTAGAGGTAAAACGGGAAATAGTGATTTTTTAGACATATAGGCAAACTGATTGTTTATATCAGTCTTGGAATTTTCTATATAATGTAATGTTTTATGAAAACTATATCCAATGTATTTAAAAAAATCGTTTTATTTAAATTTGCTGTCTGGTAATAATACAAGCTCTGCTTGTACGGACTGGTCTGCTCTTATAACTATGACTGATTTAATCTTATTGTATATTTATATTTGACCCAAAAAAAATTGTGCTGGTTGGTAGTTTGTAAATGCAAACTTACATGGATTATTTAAAAGAGCAACACACAAGTTTCTTGATCGTTCTTCTTGTGATGAGACAGCTTTCCGAACGAGTGGTAAATAAAAAACAAATTGTTATGACTATTCAAAAGTGCTTCAATGTAAGTTTATTTGAATAAATGATTTTCTCTGTTTAGATTTGGATAGATGGCGCTGTGTGAGTTGTCTTGATATGTTATTATTATTATAATCTATGACAAAATATTACACAGTAAGAATTTACATGAAATTCTTATATCGATTAATTATATCGGGTAATTGGGTTAAAACCCTTATCTTTTGAAAGGAAACACTTATCTTTTAATATCAATATAGTTAACTACATGACAGTTATCCCCCTCCGATCAATCCTCTCCAATTCAAACGGGGATCGAAATTACGATGGCCTTAGGTTCGAACCCTTAGCGGTGCCCTCAGACTAAAGTCGTATCCGGCAGGCGGGAGTTGGCCTTCAGCCGCTCCATAAGTCCTTTTGGTTTGGAGTGCCATCTGCACTCGCCCCCTATCATCCGGTGAAGCTGTAAAGGCCAGCTGCCAACAGCATTAGAGTAGTCCGATGAGAGATTTCTACCACGTCTCTATATCGTTAGTTATAAACCCCATCATTAGGGAGTAATGTAAGTAATTTTTTTTCTGTTTTGGTAGACATTACTTGTAGCACTTGTTCCACATTGTGATCATTAAAAATATCATCAGCACGGGTCGTCACGTTCTTGACCTCTCCGTACTATAGCGACTATTTTTATTTTAACAGATTTTGACTAATTAAAGTCTGTATAATTGGTTGGTGTAGGTACCTAATTCATTTTAATACCGCTATATAGATAACTTGTAATTGGACACGTTTAACGCAACGCAGTTAATTTATATGAATTTTACATATATTCAAATTCAAATTCAAAATATCTTTCACGTAGGTCTATTACAGATTTTTAGGATATGTCAAATCTACCGTCAGTTCGGAATGATTTCGAGATAAGAGTACTGATAAGAAAATCAGCTCGTATTTTCTTTTTTTAAAATGTTATACATATTTACAATAATACAATTTTATTTAAATTCAAATTTGGGAGAATAGAGTGACCATATGCTATTGAAAACAAAAAATCTAATCAGTGATCGCAACCTGAACAGATCAGTCCTCACAAGCAGCACCCGTTCACGAATATGACGGATGTGCCAGCCATTGTTGCACTCAACTACATATACTCACCACGCCGCCACAAGTTTGAACTTTATAGCGAGCATGACTGTTTCACGTTACTCTACTACGTCAATTATATTATTTCTTAACGATGGCTAAATAGACCATGTCAGGTTGACCTCCACGCGGTTCCCCCTGGAAACCATCATGGCAATACGTAGTGAATGTGTAATAGGGATTGTATAGGATAGGATTAACATATATTATGAAGGACTAACATACCATGTCATATATATAATAATATCATTAACATCGTGTGAACACAAGCTCTGCTTAGCTTGGGATTAGTCCCAAACTAAGCAGAGCTTGTACTATGGCTACTAGACAACTGGTAGATATTTTTTTTTAAATTCATACGTAATTGACATAGAAAACAAACAGACTAATACAAGCAATCATATTCATTCACTCAGCTGGCCTACAGCTTCACCGGACGATAGGGGGCGAATGCAGATGGCACTCCAAACCCGCGGAAGGACTTATGGAGCGGCTGAAGGCCAACTCCCGCCTGACGTATACGACTTTAGTCTGAGGGCACCGCTAGAGGTCAAAACCTCGGCTCAGGCCGTAGTAATTTCGATCCCCGTTTGAATTGAACGGTGGATCAATCCGAAAGGATGACTCCACCTTCATAACTATGAGGATGTAATTATTATTAAGTATTCTATAATTAATGAAGTGATAAATTGTGAGTTAATTTTATTATAAAATTTTCAAGTGCTTAATATGATAATAGAATAGAAAATCATTTATTCAAATAAACTTAATTTAAGCACTTTTGAATAGTCATAACAATTTGTTTTTTATCTACCACTCGTTCGGAAAGCTGTCTCATCACAAGAAGAACGAGCAAGAAACTTGTGTGTTGCTCTTTTAAATAATCCTTGTAAGTTTACATTTACAAGTCGAAACGTGTGAATACAAACTACCAACAAGCACTAATTTTTGGGTCAAATATAAATATGCAATAAGATTAAATCAGTCGTAGTGATAAGAGCAGACCAGTCCCTACAAGTAGCACTCGTTCACGAGTATGACGGATGAGCCAGCCATCACTGCGCTCGACCATATTTTAGGGAGCCCATTGACCCGGCCCACCACGCCGCCACATGTCTGGACATTTTAGTGAGCATGACTACTCATTCCACACGACCACGTCACAGCTACAAAAATTACTATATGGTAGTTACAGTATTCGCACTTTACATAAGGATGCATGCGGCAATCAATACAAAAGCCGCTACGCTATCATATATCAAGAAAGCAGTATGAAAATTAAAATTATAACGTTGTCCGCAAATAAACTTATTCTTGCTATATATTGCTATCATCTATAAATTCATCTATCTTATAATAGGCTTTTTTACATAACATTTGTTTAATATAAGATTTGAATTGCCTCTCTGTAAGATTTAGCGTAGACTCTGGCAGTTTATTATAGAATCTTACGCAATTACCATAAAATGAATTACTAACTTTGTGTAGACGGCATTTAGGTAAAATTAGCTTATTTTTATTGCGTAAGTTTCTACTTGTACAGTCTTTAAGTTTCTTGAAACTATCTAAGTTTTTCCTTGTATACATAATATTTTCATAAATGTACTGTGAGGCAACGGTGAGGATATTTGATTGTTTAAAGCATTGACGTAATGACTCTCTAGAACCCATACCATAAATAGAACGTATGGCTCTCTTTTGTAAAATAAATATAGTATTTATATCGGCAGCTTTACCCCATAGCAGTATGCCATATGACATAATGCTATGGAAATAACTAAAATATACAAGTTTTGCCGTCGCCACGTCTGTTAATTGCCTTATCCTTCTAATTGCATAAGCAGCAGAACTAAGTCTACTGGCTAATTTTGAAATATGGGGCCCCCATTGTAACTTCGAGTCCACTGTTATTCCTAAAAAAACTGTATCATTAACAAAATTTACTATTTCATCATTAAGCAATAGCTGCGTATTTACTTGTTTTACATTAGGCAGCGTGAATTTAATGCACTTAGTTTTGTTGGAGTTCAATAATAGATTATTACATGTGAACCAATTTAGTATAGCAGAGATAGCATAATTTACATCGTCTAATTGATTACATTGGCGACCAATTTTAAACACTAACGAAGTATCATCCGCAAATAACACTATATCTGCAACTTTCTCTACCATGTAGGGAAGGTCATTTATATAAATTAAAAAGAGAAATGGGCCTAATATTGAACCTTGAGGAACGCCCATTTTTATATTAGTTCCCTTAGACTTTACACCATCAATATCTACAGTTTGCACCCTATCCTCTAGATAAGTTTTCATTAGACTTAGGTCATTATCTCTAATACCATAATATTTGAGCTTGTACAAAAGTGTTTCATGATCTACGCAATCAAACGCCTTCGACAAGTCACAAAAAACGCCGAGAGCATCCTGTGAGTTTTCCCATGATTCGAATATATGTGTAATAAGCGCTACACCTGCATCAGTAGTAGACTTGCCGGCAGTGAAACCATATTGCTGACTGTGAAGCAGTCCGTTATCCCTGAAGTATTTTAACATTTGGTTAAACATAATCTTTTCAAATACTTTACTTAGAACTGGCAAAATAGAAATTGGTCTATAGTTACCTAGCTCAAATCTATCTCCAGATTTAAAGAGTGGAATTAATTTGCTAAATTTCATTAATTGAGGAAACACGCCATTATCAACACATTTATTGAAAATAGTAGCTAGATAAGGAGCAACAATATCGATGAATGTACTAACTACTTTAACTGACATGTCCCAGAGATCTTCCGTATTTTTTAAATTTAACTGTTTGAATATTTTTATGACATGAAAAGGGCTGACATGTGAAAATTTAAATGTTAAAGAGCAAGGGCTGACATTAGCCTCCAGTAATGTTTTTGCTCGAATTGGAGATGAGTCTAGAGAAGATGTAATATCAATCGGAATATTAGCAAAAAAATCTTGAAAAATATGAACTATATCTTTTGTTGCTGTTATTAACTTATTGTCATAATTTAATGAGAATTGATTGCAGGCTTTTTCAGACCGTCCAGTTTCTTTGTTTATAATTCCCCAGATGGTCTTAATTTTGTCAGAGGACTGATTAATTTGTTTATTTATAAAATTAGATTTAGCTGCAATACAAACTTGTTTGAAAATTTTAGAGTAATTTCTCACATAAGTTGTAAATTTGTCATCAAATCTATATTTTTTTTGATCATATAAATCAAATAAAATGTTTCTACTTTTAAGTATTCCTACTGTTGCCCATTCTGTAAATTTAGATTTAACACAATATTCTCTTTTCTTGAAAATATTCTGGTATTCTTTTGACAAAAGACTAATTAACTTGGTGTAAAGAATATCAGGATTATTAAGACTGACAGATTGTAACTCTAAGTCTAATTTATATTTAACCGTGCTTTTGTATTTATTAATATTGTAAGCATTTATTTGTCTTTTTGATCTTTTATTATTGGTATTTTTTTTAGTCTGATTACTAAACTTAACAACTTGATAATTCAAGCCTTGAACTTTTAATGGGTTAAATAAACATCGCACCATATAATCTAAGAATGTATATATATTTTAGGGTTCCGTATAAAAATGGCAAATTTAGATAGTGGAGATAGCGAGTCAGAACCTAATTACGTCAACTATTTGCTCTCGCCGAAAATTTCTAAAATTGTTAAGATTTGCAATACAAGTATTCATAATACTTGTTCACAAAATCCTAGTGAAGCCTAGTAAAAGTCTTCGAGGATAGATTGTAGAGCAGGAACCACACAAGAAGATAAAACCTAGAAAGGTAGGTAAGAAAACTTCTAAAAACCTTTCATAAGATAGTTGTACTATTTAATAAAAATAAGCTGCGGATCCGAAGGTTATTTAAGGAGCTGCTTTCACACAAAGAGACTTTCAGTGCGAAAATAAAACACCCAGATGAAATTATCTAGACATGTTTAAATTTAGAAAAGATATCGCGTAGGTAACGCGATATCTTTTCTAAATTTGAACAGACATTTAGACATGTTTAAATTTAAAAAAGATATCGCGTAGGTAACGCGATATCTTTTCTAAATTTGATAAAGATAATTTCATCTGGTTGTTTTATTTTCGCATATCTTTTATAAAGAACGACTTAATGAAACTTGGTTGCAAATTACATTTACATTATATAGAAATAGAAATAATCTTAATTCAAATAAACTTAATATAAGCACTTTTGAATAATCATATTCTTTTTTTATACTACCGCTCATTCGGAATGCAGACTCATCACAAGAAACTTGCGTGTTGCTCATTTTTCTTGAAATGAAATGAAATTAATTAAATGAAATTAAATGAAATTGTTTATTTTGCGAATGTGGTGTGCACAGAGGTTATAAAGTGGGTACATATAGTTCCATAAAATCCGCCTTATATGAAGACATGCAAAATGAGTCTGATTATACAATAATACATTTATCAAAATACTCATTTCTTCTTGTGATGAGTCTCATTATTTACGTTTATCAAAATATTTAAGTCGTACGATATATCTAACATGTTGAATTATAAAAACATAATTATCATAATTAAATAATTATATAAATATTTATTGATAATGTTTTATTAATTACAAATTAAGTAGCTTCTTATAGTGATTGATTGTTATAATCATAAACATGGTGTTAAAATATTTATCATAAATAAATTTGGAAAAAAAATTATTATGTTAGTATGTGACAATGAATATTTACATATGTATTTTTTTTTTAATAATAATAATATTTATTCATGTTTCGACTTGTAAAATGTGAACTTACAAGGATTATTTAAAAGAGCAACATACAAATTCTTGCTTATTCTTATTGTGATGAGACAGCTCTCCGAATAAGCGGTAGATTTAAAAAATGTTGACTATTCAAAAGTGCTTCAATTAAGTTTATTTGAATAAATGATTTTCTATTCTATTCTATTCTATTCATGATACACATTTACATTTTAATTTACTGTAGTTCTACACTAGGCTCGCGGGCCTGTATTGTAGAGACTGAAGTGACTTATTATTGTGTACATTTTACATGTTTACCCTTTGTATTAATAGCTATTTGAAAAATGGAACTTGTGTGTAAAATGTAGGGAATAAATTTGTGTAAAATTTGTGGATGTATAATCTAAAAGGTGAGCATTGGTGTGAATATTTGCCTTATAATAATAATAATAATAATAATAAATCCATTTATTGCCAACATCAGCACAGTTACACAGCTACACATTTATACATATTTAACATGATTGGCAATTCCTTATATACTTTTTTGACATTTCTCATTTATATTATTGCACCGCCAACAATCTTTCTCTGCACCACTCATGGTTGCCTGGTAGATAACACCGCAAGGTGGTAATTCCGCAATATACACATCATTTTTGTGCATTGAATTTAAATAAATTTGTTACTCTTTCATGACAAATTTGAATGAAATTTTGTGATCAGACAGATCATATCTTAAATGAACTGTTATACTCGTGCTTGTGGGACTGATCTGATCGGGTTACAGCCACCGATTAGACTATTAGACTATTTAAAGCTATTCATGCATTCATAATTTAAGAGTCACGCTCTTATTGGTGGAGTTCTTGCCTCTTTCATGATTTTCCCATACTCTTTAAATGTTTTCCTTCTATTTTTCCTCAATAATGGTTATCACAAATTCATCGTGACATATCAATCGTCTCAAATTAATATTTATTACCATATTATATGGTTGACTGGTAGAAAATACAGCATGGTGTTAAGTCCGCCAAATGTACTGTAATTTTGTATTGTGTGCATTGTAAAATAAGGTTAAGGTAACCCTAAGGTTGCCTTGAAAAGATTGCTTTTAGCAATAAGGCCGCCTTATTGTAACGATACATGTGTCCTTTGTTATATTGTTTGTGCTTCTTCTTTACTGTACGTTGCAAATAAAGTATATTCTATCTATCTATCTATCTAATTTAAAAATATATACATTACATGTAAAAATATTTAAGTAAGTAAAATAATCAGCATGTACGTAGACATATATAATATATCTGTAATCCATTAAAAACTTAATACGACGATAGTAGCAATTCGTGTATTGGTTGTTATTTATACTTTATTGATAAATATCTGACATGATCACTAACATATGAGTGTATTTTATGTATTACGCAATTATATATACATATTATTATATCTGTATATATATTACTATCTGTGCTGTATTGGTTTCACCCGCGTGGAGTTTCTTCGTGTATTATTCTAATGTATAAGCTATATCACTAAAGTTTCATCAATATCGCATCAGGAATTTTTGCGTGAAAGAGTAACAAACATCCATCCATACTCACAAACGCTTTTATAATATTAGTAAGAAATAAGATATATATTACTAGCTACCCACCCCGGCTTCGCTCGGGTGTACATGTATTATACATATAAACCTTCCTCTTGAATCACTCATCTATTAAAAAAACAGCTTCAAAATCCGTTGCGTAGTTTTAAAGATATAAGCATACATAGGGACAGACAGCGACAACGACTTTGTTTTATATTATGTAATAATTAAACCTCTAGTTAATTCCTCAAACAATTGGTTATGTATTTATTTATTAACTCTAATCAATTAGTGCTAGTTGATAGTTTGTATTCACAGATATCAACTTAAAAATGTAAAGTTACAACAAAATTATTTAAAAGAGCAACACGCAAGTTTCTTTCTCGTCCTTCTTGTGACGAGACAGCTTTCCGAATGAGCGTTAGATTAAAAAATAAATGTGACTATTGAAAAGTGCTTAAATATAAGTTTATTTGAATAAATATTTTTTTATTCTTTTCTGTAGGTACATATAGCTATTATGGAAGTGGTTACTCTGATACTGTACATACTAATATTCAAAAGTCTGTCAGTATGTCTGTATGTCACCTTTGCATGATTAAACAACCAAACTAATGAATGAAAGTCATGAAGATTGTAATATGAAATAACATGAGTACTAACATAAGCTACCTTTTGATCTCAAAAAGGCATACAAAGTCCATCTGCAGCCTTCTTTTGCATGACAGATTTCATTACAGATTCAGAGGTACGTTTGTAATAAAAAATCACTGAATTACTGGCAGGAAATGCCAGGATTAGTACATTCAAAAGCCCTAATATCGAACAAATACTGCAATAGACTATTGCTAGTGGTAAAAGCAACATATGCATGATGACTAGGGCCCTCACAGGACACTGCAAATTAAACAAGCATATGGCTAAACTAGGCCTATGCACGACAAGTATCTGCAGATTCTGCCAAACTGAAGAGGAAACGCCGCTTCACATCCTATGTGGTTGTAGCCCACTCATGCATAAACGAAATATCTTCTTTGGAAGTTTTACTCTAACCTAAGGAGATAAATCCATCGCTCCTAAGAATATCCTTCAATCCTTCAAGTCTAGATAGTGAACTCTGAAATAGGGCGAGCATAATAGATCTATGTAGGTCGCAATGCTCAAGGTCCAAGCACCTGATAATTGCCCAGACCCCCCAATAAAAAAAAAACGTTTTTAATAGTTTAGCTCTTTGGATGCCTTCAGAGAAGTTTTCCTAACTGACTATGGGGTACTTTCAGGTATCCACATTTAATTTGTATTAAAAAAGTGACACTACTTACATCTGTGTGACACTCCGCTGACTCTGTAAACACGCCGCTACCGGGCGCCAACCAGGGCGGTCGGGCATTCGATTCCCTGATTATAGCTGCTATGCAGAGGAACAGCAATATACACGCTATTGAGGGTTTCTGCGGACAAACAAACATATGTATCAATCAAAAAGTTTATTTTCATATTTATAAATGCTTATTGTCATAATTTAAATTATAAGATATTAAATTATGAACTAATTTCGAGGATACTTCTGACCCGAGAGCTGGTAGCTACTTTGCCCAAAGGCTAAGTATGGCCATTCAAAGAGTCCAGTATCTTGGGTACTCTGTCTCGATGTGCCGCGTTGGATTACAATGATTGGTTTTTTGCAGAACAACACTCATGTCAAAATCCTTTATACATATGTCTAAAAATATATATAATAAACTACCTGACGAAATGAAAGAAATACAATAACGAAATTTAAAAGCAAATTAAAAACAATTTTAATAAAAAAATGTTATTACTCTATTAGTAGTTAGACGACTTCGGTGGTCTAGCGGTCTTGCACACCGCTTTACGACCGATGGTCGCGGGTTCGATTCCTCGCACGGCACATACATTTGTATTCATAAGTATAATTGTTTGTATCGGTCTGGGTGTTTTATATGTATAATATGTATGTATTTACGAAAAACAAAATATCTATGTACTTGTATCAGTTATCTAGTACCCATAACACAAGCTTTAGATAGCTTAACTTGGGACTAGATGGCGCTGTGTGAATTGTCCTCAAATTATTATTATTATTATTATGTATTTACACAAAAAAAATCTATGTATATGTATCAGTTATCTAGTACCCATAACATAGGCTTTAGCTGGCTTAACTTGGGTCTAGATGGCGCTGTGTGAATTGTCCTGCGATTCTTATTATATTACAGAGTTCTTAACAGATGATCATTTCATGAATGTATAATATGATAATTTTATTTGATTATATGTGACTCTGTATGATTTAATTGTTCGATTCATTATATTGTTTGACATATTGTTTAATTTATTGACATTGTATAAATTAATAATGTCTATTTATGAACTTAACTAATTACTCTAATATACCTAACTGTATATAGTTATAATGTAATTGCAGTGCCCCTATGGGTATTACATGTCTTATGTACATCTAATTAATAATAACTATAATATACCATGTGAGAAGCAATAAATAAAAGAAAAATATGCTTGTTTGCAAACTACGTTTATTATTTGATATATTATTGTTGCTCCGTACTTATAAATTTATTATTCAATGTGTTGTACCGTACGATCAATATTCACCCAGATCATAGGTGTCTTCAGAATATTTTACGCGAGGATGGAGTCATGATGACTCTACAACTACAAATAATATATGGATTAAAAAGTTCAGCAGATTTTTTTTTTTTTTTCACGTCAGGAAAATCCATCATGGAGAACCATCCGCTTAGGGACGAATGGATACTGCCGGACTCCTACCTGCTAAAAACCTGACGACAGGATCTAGCTGAACTAATTTCAAAATAAATTTGAAGCCAAGTAGAGCTGAGGTTGTGCTGTTCGAAGATATTATTGAAGAAGTCAAGAATTATCGAGTTAAGTTAAGTTAGAAGATATTATTGGTCGTAGTGGTAGATAAAAAACAGTTGTTATGAAATAGAAATAGAAATAATCTTTATTCAAATAAACTCATTACAAGCACTTTTGAATAGTCATATTTTGATTCTACCACTCATTCGGAATGCAGATTCATCACAAGACGAATGAGCAAGAAACTTGTGTGTCGCTCTTTTTAATAGATGACTATTCAAAAGTGCTTAAATTAAGTTTATTTGAATAAATGATTTTCTATTCTATTCTATTATTATTATATTATACCCATATTTACAATAACCCAGTTACAAGCCAAAACAAAGTTGGCCCAATTTTGGTTTATCGCGATTGCTATCTCTCATTAAGTAATTACAACAAACACACTATTGTTTAAATATTGATAATATCACTATTATTATTATAATAACACGAGGAATAATAAACAAAACGATCCTTTATAGTGCAGCAGTTTAATGGTCGCAGGTTCGATTCGAAATTGCTAGTATGATATTGGAATGGTGGAATCTTATGGATGATAATGGAAAGGTGCACCCACTGCTGCTTGTGTGGACTGGTCTGCTCTAATCACTATGACTTATTTTCTCTTATTAATTGTTTAACCAGTTGTTGTATATTGAATGTTTTTTCTATTTTATTATTTCATTGAATTAGTGCTAATCGGTGGTTTGTATTCACACACTTAAACTTAAATTGTAAAGTAAAAATAAAATTATTTAAAAGAGCAACACACAAGTTTCTTGCTCGTTCTTCTTGTGATGAGTCAGCTTTCCGAATGAGCGGTAGATTAAAAAAAAATGTAATGACTATTCAAAAGTGCTTCAATGTAAGTTTATTTGATTAAATGATTTTCTATTCTATTCTATTCTATACTGCGCTAACGGTTTACACTGGCAGGACACCAGTGGGTGATAGGATGAGCATACTATTTAGTAAGTACTAACTACTAAACGTTTTAACTTTTGAAAATATAACATAAATAAGAGCAGAGGAAACCCGAAAGATATAGGGGTGGCCTGTGTGAAAGATATAAATAAATTCAAAACATCTGTTAAATCATATTTACTGAGCAAGGCCTATTACTCATTACACGATTACTTGAATGACGAGCGTGTAGAATGACGAGCGTGTAGTAGAATGACGAGGCAGTAGTTTTCATGTACGGGATTTTCATTTAATGTTAGACATAGACACCTATATAAATACCTATGCATTGTAAATAAACTGGCTTTTAAAAAAAAGTAATTCAATTGAGTTTCTTGCCAGTTCTTCTCAATTGGATCTATATGTATACCGAACTGGACGGTAGGGTAAAAAAAATTATAATGTAAAAACTTTTTATTGCCATATTCAATTTAATTTTTGAATTGAATTAAATTGAATATGGCAATAAAGAGAGTGAGTAAGATGACTGCGAACAGGGATGAATAGAAGAAAAAAACATATTATCCCGACCATAAATAACACGGGATAAGGAATTGTTGATGATTATTTCATTGATAAATGAACTAGTTTGTATGAATATATATTTATGATATGGATGACATGACATACAGTTATCTAATTTATCTATATTTAAATATAATTCATCATACAAATCTATACCTACTCAATGTACATATTGTATTAATTAATTGACGACCTCGGTGGTCTAGCGGTTTAGGACAAGTACTTTACGTCCGATGGTCGCGTCTTCGATTCGTACGGTACAAACATTTGTATTCATGAGTATGATTGTTTGTATCGCTCTGTTATATGTATATATTTAGGGTTGATAATGGAATGGTGCACTCGCCTGCGCTAACGGTTTACGCTCGTAGAGCACCAGTGAAGGATGATAAGATGAGCAGGACGTCAAGTCAGTTAGCCCATCGTGGTAAATTCGCCATGAATATATCACAATGGTTTCCAAGGGTAACCGCGTGGAGGTCAACCTGACGTGATACATTGCTAGCAATAGGGTTATTAATAGAAATCTAGCTCTGTCTTGGTCTTCCCCTCCCCCTCTTTCCTTCTATTTCCCCCTCAATAATAATTTTCATAAACTCATCGTTTTTTCCACGTCTATTTTCCATATTATTCAATATCTGCATTTTTATTTTACCATGAATACTTCAATTACTTACAGTAATTCATTTGAGTTTCTCGCCAGTTCTTCTCAATTGGATCTATATACCGAACTGGACGGTAGGGAAATAATGAAATTTATAAAGTAAAAAATTTTACGTTCATAAGCGGTTAAAACGACATATAAGAATAATTGATTTTTGAATGTGAATTTGAATTCATTGGAAATACAAACGAACTCAGTAGAGCGAGACGGTATTACACCAAGGCCCATCGCTTGCAATTATACAGGGCGCAGATCCGGCCGCATATGGAATACTGTTCTCATCTCTGGTCGGAATCACTAAAATATCAATTACTACTATTTCACCGTATTCAGAACCGAGCATCCAGAATCATTGGTAATCAACGTCTTTGTGACAGACTCGACCCATCTAATCATCGAGAAGAATGAATCTCGAAAGTTATTCAAATTTCATATTCAAATCCAAAATATCTTTATTCATGTAGGTCTATTACAGACTCTTACGATAAGTCAAATCTACCGTCAGTTCGGAATGATTTCATGATGAGAAGAACTGACATGAAACTCAGCCCGTATTTTTTTAATGTTTAAATGCCTATATGCTTGTTTATGCCTATATACCTCAAAAATCGGAATATGGACGGGAGATATCTTGATATAACGACGTAAACAGCTCATTGAGGTATATATATAAGGTATATACCTCAATCATACTTATCATACTGCCAACATTTGACACCAACTTGTTTTGAATTTTACTCATAGACTACAGATACTATGATCCTATCTTCATACATAATAATTATAGTCAAGTACAGAGGGAAATGTATAGTGGACTGATGATCTTATTGCTAGCAATGTACCATGACATTTTAGCCGCAGAAATAATAATGTATGAGGGACTCTGATATTATATCGGTAACGCTGTTCTGCTTGCCCAAAAGCGATGTTTACAATTTATCCTCCAGGCCCCCCTGGACAGGGGCGAATCTACCTAATGGCTTTTTGGGCTGCAGTCCACGGCCCCAAGGATACACAGGGCCCTGAGTCCCCATTGAAACGATATTTAGGTAGGCCCCTAAGTAGATTTAGCCCAAGGTCCCATAAAGCCCCTGAGGGGGTAAGGGGATAGTTAGTAATGTGGATTGATAACTCCATTACTATAGTAGCAATGTACCATGTCAGGTTGACCTCCACGCGGTTCCCCCTGGAAACCATCCTGATAAATTCCTGGTGAATTTGTCACGATGGGCTAACTGACCTGACCTCATGTTCATCTTATCATCCTCCACTGGTGCCCCGCCAGTGTAAACCGTTAGCGCAGGCGGTGCACCATTCCATTATCATCCATTCAAAAAAAACTTATCCTCCAAGGGGGACAGACGCGAATCTACCTAATGACTTTTTGGGCTG